CCAGTAGATCTGTGAAGAGATGCCCCCATCATTTTGACCTGGAAGCACTAACTAGTGTAGGAATCCACACTTGGGAAGTGAAGCACACGACGCTCACAACTCGCGTAGTTCCTAGGAAGAACCTACCAGGCCCCTCAGGAACACCAGCGCCTGTGACAGTGGTGGAGCCTCTAGGAGATCAACATGGCATTGGAGCCATTACTCCTGGAATACAGACACCTGTCATCGCAGGCGGGGCGAGTACACCAAAACCGTTAGGAACAGTCACCCCAAGAAACACGAACCTTCATGCAATGGCAAAGAAGGCAAAGGAACAAGAACAACTGCAAGCAGAACCTGCAGCACCTGAGTGGATAGACCCAGGACCTGATGAGGCAGGCAGTGATGCAACGCCTACAAGTCAACTGAGTCATCTGCAAAACAGAGGACCAGGATCCGATGAAGCAGGTAGTGATGTCACACCAACGTCGCAGATAAGCCGTGGTCGTGGTAGTGACAGCATGAGCACTGATCAAGAGGTCATGCAAGAGAGTCAAGGTAGTGAACTTTTGTTGCCTAGAGCACCGGCAGCAGTCAGAAAGCATGAGTATGAAGACGTAGGAACTTCGTCCAAAATCCCAAGGACCGACGAGTCGCCGAAGAGGAAATTTCCACCGTTTAACGCAGGACGCGTGTTTGAGCACAACGACGAACCTCTCCCTGAGCCAGGACTTGACGACATCTGTTGGGAGGACACATACTCAGATATAGGAGATGAAGAAGAAGAAGACGAAGAGGAGAGAGAGAGAGTTTTCAACGATGAGGACGCAGGACCACCAGAGCTTTCAGAGGAAGAGCTCAAGACCAAGGACAGAGAGGCCATGATCACCGAGATGGAGAGACTTTCAGGAATGCAGGCACTGGTTAGGAAACCACTTGAGGAACTTGGCTGGCGCAAGAGAGACGATGGAGAGAATGAGAGAGAAGAGAGTGAACAGGAACCCATAAAATGGCTCACCACCAAATTCGTGTTCGATTGGCGGTTCAGGTCAGGGTCTTGGAAAAGACGGGCTAGGCTAGTGGCTCGTGAATTTAAAGGAACTGAACACAGAAGCGATGTGTTCTCACCAGCCACGTCAGCAAGCCTCACAAGGTTAGTCCCCGTGATTGCTCTTCAGGAAGAGTTTTCAGTCTACAGCATTGACGTCAAAGATGCGTTTTTGCAAGTACCCCAAAGGACTAGAACGGCGTGTGAATTCCCGAAGGAATATGTGGAGCTGTTTCAGGACACTGATCCCTCTTGTCTTCAGGAAGGACTACTCTTGCTCCGAGTGTTGCCAGGACAGAGAGACGCAGCTTTGCTTTGGTCGGATCATTTTAGTGATTCGCTTAAGGAACAAGACTTTGAGAGAAGTGTAGCTTGTCCAACTCTGTTTCGAGACTCAAGGAAAAGCATTCTTGTGGTTCATGTTGATGACATTCAAGCAGCAGGAAAGAGTCATCATGTCGACCCTGTACTAAAGAGTCTAGGACGAGTGTACGAGCTGAAGATTGAAGGACCATTTCTTACCGCGCAGGAACTTGCTATTGGCGAGTCGCTTCAGACGATGAGATTTCTCAAAAGGAAGTACTCGTATCACAATCATGAACTTCACATTCACAGTGACCCAAAGTATCTTGGAAAACTTCGTGAAGAACTCAAGTTGACAGGAAAGGCATCAAAGCCGACGCCGTGCACACAGGAGAGCCAGGCAGTAGACAACACAAACCCTCTTGACCAGGAACAAGCAGCTTCGTTTAGGAAGTGTGTAGGAATCCTCCTATATGTTTGTCAGGACAGGCCGGATCTGCAGTTCGCAGTAAGAGGTTTAGCGTCCAAGATGTCATTGCCAACATTTGCAGCTAAGAAGCAGTTGATTCATGTTGTGCAGTACATGACAAAGACAGATGGTTACCATTGCACGTATAGGAAAACACCGCGAGGAATGTCAAACCTCAACGAGAGCATTCGTAACGGAACCTATGACTTTTCCCAAGTCAAACCCAAGGAACATCACTTGTTGGAGGTATACTCCGATTCAGATTGGGCAGGACAGAAAGACAGTCGTCGCAGCACAAGTTCAGGAACTGTGTTTCTGGATTCTCAACTGATCTATGCATTCTCTAGGACCCAAAGGAGTATTTCTCTGTCTTCTGGAGAGGCAGAATATTACGCCGCAGCTAGTTCAGCTAGTGACTCTTTGTTGCTCAAGGAAGCGATAGAATTCCTCACCTGTAGGAAGTGCGTAGTGCATTTGCATCTAGATTCTTCCGCTGCTCGTGGTATCATTACCAGGCAGGGAGTAGGAAGAGTGAAACATTTGCAGATTAGGACCCTCTTTCTCCAGGACCTCCACAAACAAGGAATTCTTAGTGTCCACCCGGTAGGTACCAGGGATAACACTGCTGATATAGGAACTAAGCCGCTTTCAGGAAAACGCATTAAGTTGTTGATGCATTGGCTAGGCTTCAAGGACGAACAAAACCAACCAGTAGGAATTGAAGAGCTTCAAGAACATCGACAGCAGGAACAAGCTAAGGCCACAGTCAAGAGAATCAAGTCCAAAGGAAACTTCGCATTTGCAGCTTTGTTTTTCTCTTTGCTTTCAGGAAGTTTGGAAGGTTGCTCAAAGGTTGAAGTAGCTTCAGGAACATGTCTTTTGCAGTCGTGCAGTACATGTGTAGGAACTGTGCAGGAACATGTCGGCATGTGCAGTGACACGAGTGCATGTGCATTAGGATTGCAGGAACAGCTTGGGGTAGGAAACATTTGCAGCTCGATGCCTCGAGTGAAGGACCTCTGTTTTAGGAACCTTGAAAAGGAAGAGACAGTAGCTGTAGAGAAGGAAGTAGCAGCTATGGAACCGAGTGCCTCCGAGAAGGAACGTTGGTTCAGAGAGCTCACCTCTCAGTTGAACCAGTTGAAAGAAGCCCAAGGAACCACGAACGTGTTGCTCAGAGAACAGCGTCGCGAACAGGCAAACCTCAAGGAACAGATTGAGGACCAACACCTGCGAGATGTGGAGTTGCTCAGGCACTTGAAGGAAAGGATAGAAGCTTTGGAGACCAAGATCGCCGAGTACGAGAAGGAAGAAGAAGAGATCAAAGGAATGATTTGGTGGAAGCTTCAAGAAGAAGAAAGAGGAGCAGAGATGGAAAGAGAGCTACGAAGAACAGGACATGGTCGAGGAGAAGAAGGAAGTAAAGAAGAAGAAGAAGGATCGAGTTCTATCACACCAAGATCTTCGTCGGCGTCTACTACATCAACGCAGGAGGAAAAGAGGAAGGAAAAGGAGAGGAAAGAGAAGATCAGGAAAGTGAATGAGGAGCTGAGGAAAAGAGAAGAAGAGGAGAAGGAAAAGGAAAAAGGTTTTGCGTACCCCTACGACGACACCGAGTACAAGATCTACGTGGAGAATGGCAAGGTGTACAAGCAGCACAGGATCACGGGCGAGAAGGTCGAAGTTGGCGTCGACTACGTCTACAAGTACCAGAAAGGAAAGGAAGGAAAAGGAAAAGGACCAGGAAAAGGAAGCACCAAGAACACAGCCACAGGAGCGAGCAGCAGCTCTGACAAGCAGGCAAGCGCAGCAGTCGCTGAAGCAGCAGGAGTTACACCACAGGAAGAGGGAGCCACACAGGAAGCAGAGAAGCAGGCAGAGAAGGATGAGAAGAAGTGGCAGAAGGAACGCGAAAGGCGAGAAAGAATCAGGAAGAGGAAAGCCGAGGAGAAAGCCAGGAAGGAGAAGGAAGAAGCAGAAGAGGAAAGGAAAAGACAGGAAGCCACAGCAGAAGAGGAGAGAAAGAAGCAGGAAGCCGCAGCAGAAGAAGAAAGGAAGAAGCAGGAAGCTGCAGTAGAAGAGGAAAGGAAGAAAAGGCAGGCAGCAGCAGCAGCAGAGGAAAAGGACAGGAAGAGACGAGAGGCAGCAGCAGCGGCAGAAGCAGAAAGGAAGAGACGAGAGGCAGCAGCAGCAGAAGTAGAGAGGAAGAAGCAAGAGGCAGCAACAAGAGAAGGAAAAGAAGATGAAAATGAAAGTTTGAGGATTGAGATGGCCCAGCTTCGTGAGTTGGTCAGAGGAATGAAGGAACAGCAAGCCTCAGACAAAAGGAAGATCATCTCGCTTCAGGAAGAGCTCAAGAAGGCCACAGACAGTGAAGGAAGCACAGGAGAAGGAAAGAAGAAGGACAAGCCGATTGGCCCACAGGATCGAAGCCAATTCAGAGTTGGAGGAAGTGAAGGAGCTCAGGAACTGTATGCGATCTTTCCTTACGAAGGATCAGATTTCCAGTGGAAATGGGTGCAGGCCACAAAGGCATGGCTCTACTACGACGTGAACCAGAACTTGTGGATCAAGGACAGCGAAGATGAAGATGGAGGAAGGATCTGCAAGGAACAGGAGAAGCAAGTGAAAGGATGAAGGAAGGAAAAGAAGCGAAGGAGAAGAGAAGCAAGGAAAAGCAAAGGAAGGATCAGCAGCGCTCAGTCGAGCAGTGAGGAGTGAGTTTCAAGATGAGAAGGAAGCCAGAACAAAGGATGGAGTATCCGTTCTACTGGCAACTTTCAGGAACTTTGTTTTCGCTTTTGTTGACTAAAGGAAAATGATCCGAGTAATCAACTTAGCCCACGACAGTCGAAGCTAGCTTAGTCTAGGAACGACTTTCACCAGCTTCGAAGGCGGGGTGTTAAACATCTACGCAGTACAGGAAGCTGTGCACCAGGTGCATGTGGAATGCACACCAGAGCCTCGGAACGTCTTGTCGACGACAGGCTCGAACAAGGACACACACCGCAGCGAACCCAGGAAAAGTGCGGAGTGTCCCAGCTTTTCAGTTAGCTTTAGATTGACCCTATCTTTGACAGGTTAAGATATTCGGGTTTACTTGGCGTGTATAGGATGTTTTGGGGCTTAGGGCTTCTATCCCGAAGCGCTCATGAGCCTCCTGACACGCCTCTCACAAAATGGTGCCCTGCTGGCTGGCAGGTGTGCACACAGGAGCAGGCCCAAGCTACCAAGGCCATCGGGGGGCGAAACGAGCCCCCTAAAAAGGGGTTTATGGTTTTCATACGTCCTGATAGGGGCTGTAGTAGTATAGGGAATGTGATCCTAAGTTTGAGGGTTCATTTTGCTCCCCAAGGGGCGGCGTTCAGGGTCTCAGCTGCGGGGGTGTTCGGATTGAGGAGTTTGGATTCCCGAGCAGTCGCGAAACATCGCAGGGACCCAAAGTATCTGTCTCACGGAAGAGATTTTTGTGCTTGGGGTTGGTAGTGATAAGTGGGCTGAATTGACCCGCTGAAACTGGTCTCTGTTGGTTGATTTTCCTAACTCGATTGGCCCTGGCGATGTTGTGGGCTGGGTCCATCAACTGCGCATGCTGGTGTGCCCCATACTACTCTGCCAGCGTCTCCAGGCGAAAACTCCCCTCCTCTACTCCCAACTGATTTTGGGAGGGCGGTTGTTAATATATATGGGGGAAACGATTAGTGATGAGTCGACCCATCGGTCTTCTTGAAAATTGAACCCTAAGCCCAAACGCTAAACCCTAAACCCCCGAGGCCGCCAACGAGTCCGAAGCTAGCAAGCCGCTTCTTGGCATCCAAGCTATCGTAGGGGTGGGATTGGAGTTTCTGTGGAGATCTTGGGCCCTGCGTAGGTCAAGATCTTGTAGGATGTCTGAGAACCTGCGGAGAGAACGATGTCGGTGCTGCGGAACCGGCGAACCTCAAAGACCAACAACCACAACGCGTCTGACGTGCGGAATGGCCCATGGTCCATGTCAGAAGTGTGGACAGTGCTAAACCCTAAACCCTAAACACCTTTGCGGACTCGCCCCAGCTGTGCAGGAGGGGAAAAAACGCCCTAAACCCTAAACCCTAAACCCTAATTTGTCGCAAGCTTGCCCTCTGAGGACTGAAGAGAAGCAGGAGCAGGAGGGTGTCAAGAACGAATCGGATGAGGCAGCAAAAGCCGAGGCCGGCAAAGAGGCGAAGGAGGCGAAGGACATGGAGGTGGATCAGGAAGGAGACTTAGCAGCTGAGTGAGAGTACACTTTACACCCTTTTTTGGGGTACTGCAATCCCCTTATAGAACTGAAAGTGTACATTTTGTTTGGGGCCTATGAACTCAGCAACTAAGGAGAGAAGAAGGAAGAGAAGCAAGAGGCGCCCCAAGCGGAGGACAAGAAGGATGAGGCGGAGAGCAAAGAGAAGGAGACGAAGGAGGAGCAGTAGAACATTGCTGTTGCATCTGGTTGCACGGCGCCCTAAACCCTTAACCCTAAACCCTAAACCCAAGTGTACCCTTAGTCTACTTTGTCATCTGGACTTAGATCCCCAGGCTGCTTGGTGTGCAACAGTAAAAGCACTTGAAGCGAGCCCCTACCCCAGACCGATAAGATACCCCGTTTCCTCTTGCTAGTCATGTTATATGGGTAGTTCTCGAAATTCGGGCCCTTTGTTGGGGACCCTCTAGCATACGGCACCTTAGATAACACGGATCTTCACAAGGGACGCTATGTTAGAGAACTACCCGGAACTACCCATATATCCCTTCCCTTTATTGGGGGTAGATTGCCCCCACCCCCGTGGGTGCCGAGCCTCGCGCCACGAAACCTAAACCCTCAAGCCCTAACCCTAAACCCGAGTCAGCCCTGGTTTAGGGTTTAGGGCTTAGGGTCCCTAAACCCTAAACCCTAAACCTTACACTCTACTCCGGTCTGCTTCGAAATTTCCCCCTCCCCCCCCCTCACTAACTGCCAAGTCCCTGCGAGGTGGATGTTACCATTCAGCTATGCATGCAGCAAAAAACAAGCCCTATAACCCTGCCCTAGACCCTAAAGCCCTTGGCTCCCGGAAGGAGGACAATGTGGACTACCTGAAGGATGGATGGTTTTAGGGTTGAGGGTTTACGGTTTAGAGAAGGGGTTGAGGGGGCTCCGGGGTTGGGGGGCTGCGTGTTTGCTTTCGTTTTGCGTGGTTTCATGCTTCTTCAAGTCCCTAAACCCTAAACCCTAAACCCTATACCCTAAACCCTAAACCCTAAACCCTTAAAAAGGGTCTGAGATGGGTTTAGGGCTTCTCGGGCTTTTTTCTTGACCGGGGGTCAGCTTTGTTGGGCCAGCCTGAGGCCGAGAGGTTTGAGAATTGTTGATCTTTGGTTTTGGTTTAGGGTTTGGGGTTTAGGGTTCAGGGTTTAGGGTTTAGGGTTTAGGGTTTAGGCTTTAGGGTTTAGGCTTTAGGCTTTAGGGTTTAGGGTTTAGGGTTTAGGGCTTAGGGGGGTGCACACAAGATGGTTTCAGTTAGTGCTGTCAGCTCGGCGAGCGATAGCCTGATCCAGGCTAGGTGGGACTTTACTACAACTTTTATCACTTTGTAAGTTTACCTTAAGAACCCAAAACCTACTTTTTTGTAGGTTCCTCTTCCAAACCCCCTTAGGTAACCTACAAATAAGTAGGTTTGGGGTTCTTAAGGTAGGGTTCCTCTAACTTCATATTAAGGGAGCTAAAAGTTAAACTTTTCGAGAGCAACCAAGCAGGCGAGGACTCACGCAAGCCTGCTGCAAAAGGGGGGTGGGGCCGGTGGGAGGGTTCTTGAAGCCACCGCAGGAGCTGGATGAAGAAATCGAGCAGGCGGACAACGACGTCTTTGAGATCGAGGATGTCACGGCCACTGGCCTGGCCTGTTTCTGTAGTAATTGTGGCTCCTTTACGTGGTACCAACTTCATGGCTAGGACACAATCATTGTTGTTTCAAATGATGTATTATTCAGTTTACATTCAAGAAGAATATATGAATTAATATGTAAGTTTCTGCGCTTGTTTTGCTTTGCCTTCGTATTGTTTGACGTCTCTCGAATTTGAGAGTGTGCTGGCATGTACGCCAATTCAGTATTTTGCGAAGCACAGGAGCCCTGAAGCAAAAAGGGTTGGGAAATAAGTAACATCCTCACACCTAGCTTTTTTGTTTTCACACACACACACATATATATATATATATACAGATATTGTATACATGAACCTATAACCAACCCAATCTAAAGCTTTAAGTGAATGAAAGAAGGTGGTAGTTTCCTTCATCTTCCTGAATCAATATCAAAAGCTCACGGCGCGAAGTCGCGAAGGTCACCACTACCCAAAACGAGCCCGATGTACGGCTTTAGGCGTTGCACCCTAAACCCTAAACCCTAAACCCTAAACCCTAAACCGGTTGCAGGGGGTTAGACCCCAGGGGCAATTGCAAACTCGTCGAGTTGCGTTGCTTCCATTGCCGGCCTGCCGCTGCCAAAATCTCCCAACTCCCGGAGCCAAAAGCCTCCCTAAACCCTAAACCCTAAACCCTAAACCCTAAACCCTAAACCCTAACCCTAAACCCTAAACCCTAAACCCTAAACCCTAAACCCTAAACCCTAAACCCTAAACCCTGCCAAACCGACAAACGCTCTTAGGACATCGGTACTGGCGAGCCTTTGTTCTTCAGCTTTGGCTTTGAGGACCATCATGCTTGTGAGGTATAGGCTTCTTGGGGTCAGAGGCAAAAAACTAGGTAGGCCCTTGGGATATTTTGTATTTTCCCTTATTGGGTTTAAGAGGACCATGTTTAGGAATGTTTTTCAGAGGGTTTGAAGGGCCATCCTAGAAAAGAAGTCGAGAGGGCAACCTCCAACTGCATTGTGGGGACTCATGATCTGGCAAAAATCTGGCCCATCTCGCTTAAAAGACTTACAGCGGGCATCGATTTTTGGCAGGGCAGCGGGTGCATGTTTCGTTCAGCAGGGAGCGTACCTTTGTCTTCGTTGAGCAGAGCCCGAGCACCATACGCAACCCTTCGCGGGCAGTTGGTCACCACGTCTGGGCCCTGTCATGTGTGAAAAAAAGCACTCCGACCCACATCGTGGCGGCCTTGGCCTCCGCTCGGGTTAAGCGAATGCTCTGCAGGGATGGCCTATGGACATGAACCCCTGCTTCTTAGTAGGGAATGAGGGATCTGCAGGTCCCTATATATACCCTTTAAAGGAGATTATTCTAGGGTACCTCATTCCCTCATTCCCTACAAAGAACCAGCCAGATGAAGGGCAAAGAAACAACGGTTGCTTTCGCAAGGACTGGGCCCTACTGAGCCTCCGATTCGAGCTCCACCTCCTTGCGCATGCCTTCCTGCACGACTGCGGAGACCCAGAAAGGCTCGTTTAGGGTTTAGGGTTTAGGGTTTAGGGTTTAGGGAAGTTTAGGGTTTAGGGTTGAGGATACCCTGAACCCTAACGCCTAGACCCTGCCGCCCTGTAGCGTCAGTACTGCAGTGCAGCTTGTGCAGCGCGAGTTCTTGCATGGTGTTGTCAGGTCTGGCATCTATCCGGACCACTTGCTCTTCTACTACAACAGGCGGCCGGTGCGGTTGTCCATGCTTGATGATTTTCTGCTTGTTTATTTACGCTTTCTGGGGTGCTTGAATCAGGGGAAGGCTTTCAACAGACCGGCAGCGGGTCGAGTCTTAACCGTCCCTGATACCCTTTTGACGTACAGTTTTATGGGGTTATGCCTACTAACTTAGGGTAATTCCTACTAAACTGTACGTACATAGAGTGCCGGGTAGTCCAGGCTCTTAGGCAGCTTAGGGCTTGGCCCATTGAGTTGTTGCCCGATCGTTCTCCGATAGATCTGCGGTTGCCACAGCACCTCCGCCGTGTCTCAGGATGGGCTATTTGACCCTGTCATCCCTTAAAAGGCCCTTTACAGGGTTCATTATGAGGATTTTAAGGCCTAATAGCCCAGCCTGGTCCGAGGTACTACAAGAAGGGCTTGAATCCGAAGAACTACGGCGTGGAGGGAATCGAGGCGTTGTCCGCCAAAAAGCGTAGCGGCAGCCCTGCCCCTTCTTAAACTTGGATGTTGTTGTTTGATCTTGCAGGGGAATCCACATTAGGTATTTATTTGCTCCCCACCCTCCGTGTGGGGTTGTACGTTCTTCGCCCGGTGTGTCCCGCCCGGCCCGGTTTCCTGGCCTTGTCCCTAGAATGCCCGGGAAAGCAACCGCAGCTGTAGGGTGGGAATGATCTTTATATATATATGTATATATATATATATATATATATATATATATTCATTTATTTATTTATTCATGCATTTATATTTGTAGGCACGTGTCTGCTATTGGGGGGGGGGGGGTTGTTTACTGCAAGTTTTCTGGGATTCCAGGGCCTTGCAGTAGAAGGAGTTCTTAGGGCCAGTTGTGCCCTGGGCGGGGCGCAACAGGGGCTTGTCGAGGTGCCGGGGAATGAGCCCGAGGGGTTTAGGGTTTAGGGTTTAGGGTTTAGGGTTCATGTTGAGCCCTAAGATCTCGACGGCGCGTGAGGGATGAAGCCATCAACCTTGAAGGCATGGAGCATGTATATAAGGCTTGCATGGGTTTAAGGGCCAAGCTTCACGTTTAAGGCACATGAGTAGTGGTGATTTAAGAGCATGGCATGCGAACGCCTTCCCTCTACGAACGGTGGCGTTTTTTCTTTCCGACAGGCTGGGGCTAAGAGCTTCCGCGCCTACTTAAGCCAGTTCATCTTCCCAACCCTGTGCCCAAAGGTCTTGAAGTCCAGGATCCCACATGCTTGGGGACCAAGCGAACCCTAAAATTGGGAGGCTACACGACCACAAGCCCTACTCGTACCAAGGTGCTTGGACCATAAACCTTTTTGAGTTCCTTGGGTCCCCAAGGAACAGAAACTCCAGGAAGCTAAAAACCCCTAGGTCCCACTCCCGCAGGAAAAGACCTGCAAACGCTTTAAGCCTAAACCCTAAACCCTAACCCTAAACCCTAAACCCTACTATAGGCGCCCTAATTATTAGAATAAAGTTTTGGGGGGTCGTTATAGTATAAACGAACCATAAGCCTGGGACCCTCTTTACCTACAGTTTTATGGGTCATACTTACTAACTAAGGGTAGCTCCTACTAAACTGTTTGTAAAAAGAGTCCAGAAGGGGGAATATCGGAATACGGTTAGGATTTCTTCCGACCCCCATATTAGGCTCTTCCCTGCAAGGACCTCGTGGCTTTGGTGCGTGATAGCATCGTCATCTGCCGCCCAAAGGCCTCCACAGAACGAAGCATTCAGGGGGCTTCAAACACCGCCTTGGCTCATGGGGGATTTCTTTTGAGGGTTTGGGCTAAGGTGCCAGGTTTTCCGATGTTCTCGCATCGATGTCTGAAGAGGAAATCATGCTATTCCCGGGCTTCAGCGCCTGCGGCCCCTGTTTAAACGTGTCACGCATGGAAAGTGTGCAGCTTGGGTATGGGGAAAAGTGCAAAGGTGCTGGGTTCTTTCTGCTATAGCATACGGCTCTGTTCGGGCAAGCTCTGACACTGCCACATCAACCGTGGCAGGTTATCGAATCGATGCTGTCCCCTGAGCTGGAGGATAACGTTGCCCCGGCCGAGTTTGCGGAAATCACTCCTTGCTCTGAGACTTTAAGCGTCAAGTCTGTGTCAGTTCGGTTCAAAAAGTACAGTGTTGCTTCGATGTTGTTTGACGGCTTCTGAGTTATGAGCTCAGGTTTGTGTGTGTACGCTCTGCTCTGATATCAAAGAGTCCTAATTGGGTCAAATCTGTGAAACAAAGAGCATGGGGGCTAGCCAGGATATCTTCATCAAGCTCACGGAGGAGGCAAGGAGAGAACGGCTGAGGAGGTTAGATGCAGGCCGCCGGTGGGGGGGGGGGGGGGGCTTCGGTGTGTGAGAGAGAGACAGAGAAGGCTGGTCTCAGGACTCTCTCTTCGCGCTGTTATGATGCGAACTGCCGAAGAACGAAGCCCGGCAAACTCCGGAACTCCATGCAGTGCGGTGCATGTAGGTCTCTTACTTATGAGGTTCATACTGGGCCTTCTACCCGAAACCTGAGTGGGTAACCTCTAACCTTTTGGGGTACTATAAAACCCCTTCAAACCCAAAGTTCAACCTTTTTTCCCCAAGGGAACTCAGCACCTAAGTATACCCTAAACTCCAAACCCTAAACCCTAAACCCTAAACCCTATAGGGCTTATGTGGCTTAGGGCCTAAGAGAACTGACGAGGTGATGAAAGCGCCCGAGGCTTAGCTGTCTGAGTCGCCCGCGGCCTTGAGCAACATTTTCCGCGAAATCCCCATAGGGTTTAGGGTTTAGGGTTTAGGGTTTAGGGTTTAGGGTTTAGGGTTTAGGGTTTAGGGTTTAGGGACAGCCCGAAGCCTGGCTGTCCCTTGTGGCTGCCGCGACATGCTGCTTCTCTTGTGAGTTCTCTATGCAGTATATATATATATATATGTATGTATATCGTTTTATTTATTTTGTACATATATATATATATATATATATGTATACGCAGCATCGTGACATAGCTAGGGTGTCTTTGTCTGTATGATTATGATTTGAATTATGACTATGAGTATATACATATATATATATATGTACATATATAAATAAAAATATAAATACAAAATTTAAATTCAAATTTAAATTGAAATAAATAAATAAATATATGAATGTATATATATATATATTACACACACACACACACATGAGCTGTCCAAGGCCCGGCTGAAGTTCGCCACGGGTGGTCAGAGCTCGGCTAAGGCGCGAGCTCAATGGGGGGGAGAAGGCTGCTTCACTTCGAATGGTTTAGGGTTTAGGGTTTAGGGTTTAGGGTTTAGGGTTTAGGGTTAGGGTTTAGTGTGCAACCTCTAAGCAAGCCCCTATTTACAGTCTGGACCTTACCTTTACCTGCACTTTAAGGTAAGGTTTGGTGGGTTTACAACTCAGGGACGAAGATTCCATGGGGGCCCCCGGGTTTCGCACGGTTCCTGCGGCCTCCTCGAAGATTCGTGCGGGTTTGGGGTGCGTCTTGGGGGTTGGAGGGGTTTCGGCTGCGTCACGTGTTCCGGCGATTGCACAAGCACTTTCAGCCTTGTAAGCCTTCTAATGCCTCAGCCTGACACCGCGTCACTCTGGCCAGGCAACGCCCAAGGCGCCGGTGATCATCCCCGGAAAGGGGGCCGGGCGCCGGACTTAGCTGGAGTTCAGGGAGCGGGCCTGGGAGCTTGAGGGGTGTGGTCAGAGGTGTCGGACGGCGCTCTTCAAAGTGGGAAGCCCTGACAAAGAAGCCCTACTTAGCCCTTTTGGCTCAAAAAAAAGGCTCTTTGATGCCCAACCCTCAAACCATCATGGCAGCTCCGGTGCTCATCTTCGCCACGCTGCTCACGCGGGGCGCCTCCTTGGGCTGTGGCGGCGAGGCTTGCTCCTCTGGGGCAGCCTGGCTACAGCTTCATGGAAGCCACTAGGAATGCCCTTGGGAATATTTGTTACTTTCTCCTGAATTAGGTTTTTGTAAGAGGATGGTACCTATAGGACTGAATTTTCCGAGGGTTCTAGAAGTGCCAACCTAGGCTATATCAAGGCTTTGTCTACGCAAGACACCTTCGAGCCGGTCGATGGTGGCGAGGGACGAGCTTGCCGTGGGCGTACCACGGGCGACAACTCGCCAGGCTACTATCAGGTGTCGCCTGGTGGCAGTGCCTTGGAGAGCAATAATGAACCCTAACATAGTGTCTTGTGAGCCGGTGCCAGTATAGTCTGCAAAAAAACTAATTCCTATTAAGGTATATGAATCCATAAACCCTTTTGGGGGTTCATGTTTGGTCCCCAAGGTAGCTCGCTGGACGCATGCAAGGACGAGTGCCTGGCCGAGCCCATGTGCAAGGGCATCGAGTTCAGCCCGGGCCGCTGCGAGGTCTGGACTCGCTCTGAGGGCATCCATGCCTCTATCCCACTAAGCGGCTTCAGCTGCTACAGCTATGGTGGCACTGAAACCACGCTTCCCCCGCGCATGGGGGCGTGGGAGGCAGTCGATGGCGCAACCGGTCGCGCTTGCCGTGGCTCGAGTTCGGGAGACAACTCAGCAGCCTACTACACCGTGGTCCAAGGACTCAGCCAGCTGGTGGACTGTCAGGCCGAATGCATGCGGCAGCCTCTCTGCCAAGGTGTTGAATTCGCAGTGAACCACTGTGAGGTCTGGATTCGACCAGAAGGCATTCAAGCTTCTGCGCCGGTGTCGGGCCACAGCTGCTACCGCTTCCTGGATGGGAGCATGTCGACAACCACGCCATATCCTCCCGGTGCATTTGAAGCAGTAGATGGTGGCAAGGACCGCGCGTGCCGCGGCATCAACGCTGGGGACAACCTGCCAAGCTACTACAGTGTCGCCCCCGGCATCGACAGCATTACGTCCTGCAAGGTCGAGTGCATGAAGCAACCTGCGTGTACGGGGATTGAGTACAGCGACGGCCGCTGCGAAGTTTGGACGCGCAGCCAGGGCATCGAAGCATCCATCCCCCTCAGCGGATTCCACTGCTGGCGGCGGTCGGAGGACCCCGGCATGCGCTCCTGCATGGCTTCCACCACTGAGGTAGGTGCTACAGACGAGATCTGTGCAGAGACCTGCAGCTACTTGGACGTGGGCCAGTGGCCTTGTGGTGGAAATGGTCCCTGCGTCTGCACCGGAGGAACCACAGCTGCGCCCACGGTGGCGCCCACGACGACCATGACGACCATGACGACCATGCTCAGCACCACGAGGGCGACCGCAACGACCACCACGACCACCACCACTTCCTGCATGGCTTCCACTACTGAGGTAGGTGCTACGGATCAGATCTGTGCTCAAACCTGCAGATACATGGATGTCGGCCAGTGGCCTTGTGGTGGAAATGGTCCCTGCGTCTGCAGCGGATCGATGGGTCTGATGTAACTCGGTTCGCATCATGGAGTTTGATTTCTGCCTTGCAGGTACACCCGGAAGCCCAGCAGCAGTTCTGCGCGAGCAGCTCCACCACAACAAAACAAGGTCAGCCATCTGCCAAGGATCGTTATAAAGTGCCTGCTGCGGCTTCCCATAATCCTGTAAACTTCCATGTTGCCTCTGCCCGGGGGTGTGTGAGTGGGAGCTGCTACCTTACATCACGACCTTTGATCCCCATACAAACCTCACATCATGTTTAAACAAATATCAAAACCCTAAACCCTGAACCCTAAACCCTAAACCCTAAACCCTTGTTGTATGCAAAGGGCATCCTCCTCCTTTCGCAGTATCGTGCTCCTCTCGCCGCACTTCCCGGTAGGGCACCTCGGAAGCACAGACCCGTTTGAAAATTATTAGATGTCTCCGTGACAAAATTCACCTTGAGAGCCCAAAACCTCGCATGTTCAAGGGGGGTCACCCCCTACGTTGCACAACCAAAAAAAAGACTTGAAACCTGACCCACAAAAATATTCATTTTTTGGCTTCTCAAGTGGTATGGATTCTGCATTTTAATTTCTGACCCTACTGGGCTGCGTTAGGGGAGCGCGCTACAGGGCAATCACCGCCCATGGCCAAGAGTGTCATATAGGAGGCCGCCGTCGGTCACACGAGGTGCTACACCGTCGGCTGAAGCCTCCTTGGCATTTTGGGCTACAGGCCCTTTAGTCCCTCCCACCTAACGCCAGCCACAGCCATGCTGACAAAAAAATCAGTCAGCCGGGGCATTGCGAAGACCCGGGCATGGACGGTCGAAGTTCTGCCAGGTGCACAGACTCTCGTGGCTTCAAGTTCACAATATGCGCGAGCGTGAATGGTGAGTGTGGAAGCGCATGCACCTGGTGGACGTCGGACCTTCAGCGTAGGCTCACGCCGATCGGAAACACAAGCCAGCAACGGTTCATGTGGTAGCCAGGGCCGGGTTTAAGCGCACATGGTCAGTTCTCTAAATGAGGGTCCCTCTTTGAGGACCCCAAAAGGGGTCGTAATTTAGTTAGAGAAGTGGCCACATGGAGATTGGAGGCTCAATTCCGCTCGGGAACAGGGACGGTCTCAAAAAGAGACTCGGCGAGACATGCCATAGTTGTCCAGCAGCTCAGCGCCCCTGGAGAGCTTCCGCCCAGTTGATGCGACACAATGTCCAGGCTGGAGAGGACTCCCAAGCATTGCTGTGAAAAAGCTACCCTCAACCCTAACCGGAGTCGCAGAGTTTCCGCGAGTTATCTTGTGAAGTTTATAGAGGTCCAGGTGCGCAGGAAGGAACGTCTACCAGCGTGGTACAAGTACCATTGAACCCAAGCACACGCCCAGGAAGACAGAGGCGATCCCGCAGCAGACTCTTCTCCAGCAACAGCAGCAGCGGTCGGGCCCTATGCCTTTGCTCGGGTTTCTATAGGTGCTTGCTCATAGGGGTTTAGGGTTTAGGGTTTAGGGTTTAGGGTTTAGGGTTTAGGGTTTAGGGTTTAGGGTTTAGCACATAGGGGGTTCGGACTCGAGCAGTTCGGTGTTCATGGCACGCGGGGTTCGCGCCTTCAGAAGACTAAGGAAGTGAGTCGTTCAGACTCAAGTGCGGTACCTTGGGCTTAGTAGTAGAGTAGGTAGCCTTTAACCTTTTTTTGGGGTGATATATTCCCCTTATAATCCCCAAAGGTTAACCTTTAAAACCCCTAGGTACTGGACAACTAAGTGGGGGCTCTTGTCCTTGATGCAGTTCGAGGGCGAACTCCCTGAGCTCAAAAGGCAGCAGCAAATTCGGCAGCAGATGCAGATGGCAACAGTCCGACTCCCAGTGAGCAGCTTATTTCCTGTTCATGGCTACGCATGTTTGGACAATGTAGACCGTATGAACCCTAAACCCTAAACCTGGGCTACGCATAGTTGGACACTGTAGACCCCACAGACAAACTTCGAGACGGAAGCTTCGTGCGTGACAGAGGGGGATGATTCTGGATTAATCGCTTCAGCGGTCTTCGACCGTAAAATGCTATAACATGTCTTTGTTTTCTACGAACAATTTACTATAGCTGTGTGCTGTAGCCCGCTATGACAGATCTGGCCTTTTCCCAAATAGAACCTTCAGTCGGCACCCACTTCCGCTCTCTGCCAATGAAGTTGTCTTTGCGAAAAGCATCTGGCTTTATCTGGGTCTTTCACAAAATCGGGGTGTCCCTTTTAAACCCCGAGTAGAATAGAATCCCCTTAACGGGACCCCCAAGGTAAGCCTTTTTTTGGAACGGAACCCTCCCCCCCCCCCACATTCTGACACTTCGCAGTCTGCAAGGAAAAGGTGGCACCATGGCACTGCTCAAGTCTACAGTAGCCCCTAAACCCTAAACCCTAAGTCAACCCTAAACCCTAGCCTTAAACCCTAAACCCGAACTCGACCTGCGTTCTCCTTGTTGGAGATCACGTGGTAGCGTCTGGTTGCGGCGGTTCTGCGCTTCAGCATCCCTGCATCCCGCACTTAGCCCACCTGATCACCGGGCGATTTGTGTTCTGGATGATTCGCCTCCGACTCCCTCCAGTGTGGCTGATGGGACGGCATGTTGCTTGCCGCTTCTAGCCTGCTGTTCTGTGGAAGTTGGTTCAAGGTTTCGAAACCCTAAACCCTAAGGTTCTGGCCCCGGAATAGCCGATTCTTGCTCGGATGACCCTGCAAGGCCTATGTAAACCCTAAACTGGGATTGAAAGCTCCGACTCACAGCCAGGGCATGCAGCCGGCCGGATCCGCGCCGATGGGCACCTGAGTTTGCATGTGAAGCAGAGATTTGGCGCTTCGGGAAGGGTTTTGGGTTTTGGGTTTTGGGTTTAGAGTTTTGGGTTTTTGGGTGTTTAGGGTTTAGGGTTATGGATGAACCCCTTATTGGAATAATCCCTCTGAAGGACTGTTCGTATATGGGAAACATCCCAAATTGTTTGCAAGGTGTCCGTGAGGTTCTCGTCTAGCAGGTGAATGATGGTTTACACCTTCGGCGTCTTGTTACAAGAGAAGCTTGTTGACTTCGGCGTTTATATTTGTTTATTGCTTGAAGCTCTTTTGGTTACGGCGAGAGACGTGTCTCTGGAATCGGGTTGCCGTTGTTGGTGCTTGTTTAGGTTTTTAACTGCTGTGGCAACCCGAACATCCCCAAATCCCAAAGAAACCAACTAAAACAAAGTCATTTTCCCACCCTCTCTGACAGAGATACTCTGGGGCTGGGCACTCCAAGGGCACTCTGGGTGTTGGGCACTCCAGGGACACTGTGGGGCTGGGCACTCCACGGAGACACTACTCGAGGGACACTCACTCCTGGGATGGGCGGAGTAGACCAGGCGAGGAGAAGATTTCCGGGCGAACAGAGTTCCGGGCGAGAAGAAGAGTTGAGTTGAAAATCTAACAACCCCACACCGAGGGTGGGGAAAACAGAATACCACGAAGCCAAAACATGCAAACAAACAGGCTTCCCATGACCACCACACGCCCAACGCCAACAAACAAACCAACTCCACTGGTCCCAGAAATTTGGAAAGCTTCCTCTTTTTTTTGCGCGGCTTCTGCTGTCCGTTTCTCCTGTGACCACCTCAGAGGAGTCTTCGTAGTGGCTTGGGGTTTAGGGTTTTTGGTTAGGGTTCAGGGCTTAGGAGTTAGGATTTTGGATTTAGGGCGGCAAAACAAGGCTAAATCGCAGCCACGCACGTTCTCCTTAACTGAAGGCGCATGTCCAACCACATCTTCCTGATTAAAGCAATTGTCAACCCTCCATACTGGTGGCGTTAGGTTTGGTTGCTTTCTGTGTGATCTGATTTGGGTTTCCCAGGTGAACCCTAAACCCTAACCCCAAACCCGAAACCCTAAACCTAAACCCTAGCGGCCCTAGCGGAGACTTCCCTACTGACATGCACCCCGATCAGCCAGGCGGGAGGCCAAAAAACCTGTAGGGTTTAGGGTTTAGGGTTATGGACTTAGGGCTCAGGGACCCTAAACCCAGTCTACTCATAAACATCTCGTGATACCATATAGATCGAAGACACTCCCAGGCATGCCGCGCGCGTGGGGACCACCACCGGCCGCGTCCGGACGCCAAAGCGATGGGGTTCCTATGGAGTGGTAGCTGTTCAGCGACCCGAAACAACGGTACTTTATCTACTATGGTCTTCGTTTATTTTTTGGCGAACATCTCAAGTTCTAAAGAAGCATTTGCAGGGGTTCAGTCCGTGCGTGGAGGGCTTAGGCTTCTCAGCCAGTAGGAGGCGCCTGCATTGCCCCGTTGTTTCTATTTGCTTTGCTCGTTGTTGTCTGTTTTGGTCCGAGGCCCTCCTCCTGCAGCTGCTGGCTTCTCCCGCAAGCGAATTCCTAAACCCCTTCCACCCCTTCCAGCAACAAAACCTAAACCCTACTATAGGCGCCTTAATAATTAGAACGTTTTTTTATAGTGCAATTATATAGAGACCATAAGGGGATAGATACTATTAGTACTTATTCCTACCCAGATATTACACGAGTGATCCTACTCCAGAGGCTTTCTCCTGGAGTTGTAGGTTTTGTGCTCGTGAAGCAAAGCGAAACTGCCGCAAGTTTCTCCGGGGATCTCATTTGTAGCTCCTGTTTACGTTGTACACGTTTTCATGGTCAGGAAAGTCCAATCTGAACGTTCGGTAAACTATACAATGAGATCTATAGGCCCATTCCCAAGGGCGATGAACACCTTGACATGTCGTTGGTTGCATCACACGAAAAATTGGGCCCAACATGCTTAACGAAGAGGGGGGGGGGGGGGGGGAGGTACATTTTCAACCCTAAACCCTAAACCCTGAACCCTAAACCCTAAACCCTGAAACCTAAACATTGCAGGTTTGGGGTGCCTTTGGCACAGCAGCGGGCCATGATGGCCGCCTTCTCGGCATTACCTGGGTTTAGGGTTTAGGGTTTAGGGTTTAGGGTTTAGGGTTTAGGGTGTCCTAACTAAGGCCTTCGGTCAGAAATCCTTCCTGCACCTTGAAGCACAGGGTCCCCTCAACATGGCCTAAGCCCTCAACCCCAAACGTCTCTAGTGGTACCCTTTACCTTCTTTGGTTCTGGGGTCACACCCCCCCCCCCCCCCCCCCAAAGACCGTGAAGTCTGAATACCACGTTCAACAAATGTTCACATGGGTAGGTTCCTAAATGAAGGCCCCTTCCAAAAGGGACCCTAATTTAGAGAAATACCCACATGCCCACGACGCCCTGAACCTTGAACCTGAATTTCACGCGAAACCACCAACAAGAACCAAAGAGCCTAAACCTTACACCTAGATTAAACCCTATAATCTATCTAGACTCCCTAAACCCTAAACCCTAAACCCTAAACCCTTCGCCAGGCCCGCCAACCTTGGGGCTGAGGAAGCCGCATTGAGATGGGTCTTCTCAAGGTTTTTGGGGGGTTCAAGGCTAAGGAGTTCCAGGCTTTGTAGGGGTTTTAGGGTTTAGGGTTTAGGGCTTGTTGGGCTTGTAGGGGTGTTTTTTTGGGTTTCGGGTTGGGAATTTAGGGTCAGGGCGTATAGGTTTTAGGGCTTTACAGGGGTCTTGGGGCTCTGAATTGGATAGACGCCTCGCGCAAGGTGGGTTCACAAGTAGGATCAGACCAAGCAGTCGGCTACCTTCACCGATATCCCCCTTGAGAATTAATTCGTGTTTTTGTTTATATAAAACCCAAGAGAGTATTAAAGATATTATTTTTTATTAAGGTTCTAAGGGGAGCATAGTCACTGGGGGTCTCTGAAGCTGCGAAGGCTTCGGAGACTCGCCGAGACCGCAGCTGCCCAGAGCCGTCAGAGGTGTGTCAAGTAATGCCGACCCCCCGTTCAGCACGCGTGCCCACAAGAAGTGCCTTTCGGGTTTAGGAGCACGCGTGCCCACAAGAAGTGCCTTTCGGGGTTAGGGTGTAGGGTTTAGGGCTTAGGGGATTCTCGGTGCCAGCTTACCTGCCTCCCCTTCAGCAGCGGCGCCCGAGCGCTAGATTAAAGTACCGTCGTCATGGTCACTTGTGGAAGTGTCACAAATTTAAAACATTCCAGCCACGTGGTGGACACGACCCGTAAGCCGCAACGCCCCGAAGCCCGAAGCCCGAAGCCTTCAAATTCATTGCTTGAGATATCTTGGGATACCCCACAGCCTGGGCAGCCGCCATCTGCAGAGTTCCTCAGCGAGGGGCCGACTCTGCTGACCAGAGCCTTACGAGCTACCAAAGACAGCTGAGTGTCGTGGTGGGGTTTAGGGTTTAGGGTTTAGGGTTTAGGGTTTAGGGTTTAGGGTTTAGGGTTCCAGGGTGTGGGTCTTGTTTGGGGCAGCGAGTGTAGAGACGGGTGTACCGGGCTTGCATAGTCGGCTTGCAAAGCGGTACTTTGCAAGCTGCAAATGGAACATGCAGCACGGGCTAGTCTACGTCCTGGCATGTCATGCCTCATGCCTCAACGTGTGGTGACTCAGCGGACACCTAGATGAGTCAGCGGACACCTAGCAGCTTGGCAGCATGATTCATGATGCTGGCAGTTTCGGTTCAGCATAGTTCAGAAAGCCAAGGAATCATAGCCTTGAGGCCCCAAGCTCTGAACTTCTCCCCGGCTGGCTCAAGAAAATGCCTTCTTCAAGCTTGGGCGGGCAAGCCAAGCTTTGCTAGCGGCTGGCCGCCCTATGTAGGTCCCCTAAACCCTAAACCCTAAACCCTAAACCCTAAACCCTAAACCCTAAACTCTAATAGGTGTTCATCATGTCGGACCTCATGGTAAGCAGTTCAGGGAAGCTTAGGGCAGCTTGTGCCAAAGTACCCGTAGTAAGCCATGGTCCAGCTCCCATAGCCGGAGTGGGGGACAACGCCTGGGTGCTGCCCTCAGCTTCTTTGGACAGTCCCGGCTTAGGGTTTAGGGTTTAGGGTTTAGGGTTTAGGGTTTAGGGGTTAGGGTTACCAACAGACAGCACGAATGTGCGCGTTGAGGTTGGGCGAATAGTTCGCAGCACACCAGCCTAGCGAAGAAGTACCTCTGCTGTAAAGGCTGTAAGCCCCAGTGGCTGACAGGGGAGATGAAGGCGATCAGAGGCACATGGATGCAGTCATGATGGACGCAGACTCGGACCGATGCCTGCCAGCATGGTCTAAGGACGCCAACTTCGAAGAGTCGGGTGCCGGACCCAGCTGACCAGCTGGACCCAGGGAGCGGGCTGGTGGGAATCGAAGCATGGCTCAGGCCTCAGGGTTGCAAGGCACTGGGAAGCCCTGAGCCCTAAGCCCTGAGCTTTTTTGGCTCAAGAAGCTCTCTGATGCCCAGCCCCCAAAGCATCATGGCAGCTGCAGTGCTCATGTTCGCCACTCTGCTGCAGCAGGGCGCCTCGTCAGGCTGTCGCGGCGGGGTTTGCTCCTCTGGCACCGCCTGGCTACAGCTTCACGGAAGCTTCAACAAGACTTTGTCTACTGAGAGCAGCTTCGGCTCCTGCGTAGCTTCCACCACTGAGCTAGGTGCTACGGATGAGATCTGCGCTCAAACCTGCAGCTACTTGGAAGTCGGCCAGTGGCCTTGTGGTGGAAACGGTCCCTGCGTCTGCAGTCAAGGAACCACGGCTGCACCCACAGTGGCTCCCACGACGACCATGCGCAGCACCACTGTGGCGGCTACCACCACCACAACCACCACAACCACCACGGCCAGGACCACCCCGTCCACCACCACCAGGGCAGGTACCACGGTCACCTTGTCCACTCCGTCCTCCACGCTGGCACGGTCGATTCAGGTGCTGGAGAGCTCCAACTCGGATGGGGTGTTCATGTACGACACCGGCAATGGGTGGCTGCCTTCCGACATCTACACGTGGCCAGACATGATCCAGGCGGTGCGCTTGATGGCTACAAGTGGTGTGGGGAGCCTGAAGCTGTGGCTGGGCGACACGAACCACCTGTATGGCTTGGTGAATGTGGCGGCTTTCTTGGCACAGTGCATGCAGGAGACCATTCAGTACAATGCCTGCGATGAGAACAACTGGAGTGACAAGGCCGTAGTTCAGGAGGCGGGAGGCTCGGTTTACTCATCGGCATCGGCGTGTGGACAGCTCCACCAGTCGTACCAGGATTACAGCTGCTCGCCCGAGGAGGACGCCCTGGCTGGCGGGAAGATGGCCTGTGACGTCGACCCCAACATGGAGATGCGGGCCTTCACGCAGGCCGGGTGGTACGGTGCTCCCGCCAAGCTCTTCTGTGCTCCGAGGTCCAAAGTGCCGAAGGCTCCCAGGTGGGACTACAGTGCTCCATGGTGTGCACCCGAAGACGGCTATGGCCATGTCCCTCCCTTTGCGGACGACGTCCCCCTGGACGAGTACTTTGAGTACGTGAATGGAGGTGGCAGCTGCAAGGATTACCAGGGCATCAAAACAGGGGGGTGGACGTTCGCAGGCGACGGCTGCGTCGACGGCGCTTGCCCAAACTCCGATGCGCCCTTGTTTGGCCAACCGGAGGGGCGCGAGGACGTGGAGGGCTGCTGCTGGTGGGGCCGAGGCGTCATCCAGACGACCGGAACCTGCAACTTTGGCAAGCTGAACTTCTTTATGGGCAAGAGGGCAGCGGATGAGGGAAGGTCCTCGATTTATCCGCAGATCGATTTTTGCAAGAACCCGAACTCCATTTGCGATCCTAGCAGCCCTGGGGAGCTGAAATGGGTCGCGGGCATGTTCTACTGGCTGAACGCCGTGCAGCCGTACACCTCGGGCGGCTGGGACTACATCGCCGAGCTCAAGAAGTGGGTGGACAACGGCATGCAGCAGGGTGACCGGTCGTTCATCAATGGGGCGTCCGGCATCGTCAACCGCGGCTGCCACAATCCGCCCAACTGCGGCACAGGGGAGCTGCACGCCGCCACAGAGCGGGCGCAAAACTTCGACAAGGTGCTCAAAGCGATGGGTCTGATGTGATTCAGCACTGACTCAGCTCGGCTCATGGAGTTTGAAGTGCTGCTGCGGCTTCCCATAATTAAAAAGCTTCCATTTGCCCCTCCGGGGCGTGCGGAAGAACTGCCCGTTTTGGAAATTAAGTCCTCGTGACACATTCACCTTGAGAGCCCAGAAACCTGTCATGTTTAACGGGAACCTCCCCTATACCCCATAACATGCCTCAGAACTGACTTCAATACATGATGATACGCGATGGCAGGTTTGGGTTCTGAAGTAGCATGGCTTTTGTATTTTCACTGTGACCCCTCTGGGCTGTGTTAGGGGAGCGCGCTACAGGGCAATCAAAAGGGCGCCCATGGCGAAGAGTGTCGTGTAGGAGGCTTCCGAATGTCAGCTTTACTTGCAGAGATCCCCAAAAACCCCACTCAAAGTCTTGAAACCCTTCCAAGTGGTGCTCGGCTTTTTCAGCAAGACCATCGGTGGAAGCCTCCTTGGCATTTTGGGCTACAGGCCTTTTAGTCCCTCCCGCCTAACGCCAGCCACAGCCATGCTGACAAAATTGGTCAGCTGGGGCATTGTGAAGACCTGGGCACGGAAGGTCCCAGATCTGCAGGGTTGGGCTCGCGCCGTTGGAGACTCAAGGGGGTCCGCTTGTTCCCGCAGAAGGTCTCAAAAGAGATTTGGCCAGACATGCCATAGTTTGCCATAGTTGTCCAGCAAGCCTTGCTGCGAAAAAAGGCCGCCCAGCGAACGTCTGCCGCGTTGTACAGGTACCAAGCAATCCGAACCCTAGCACACGCCCAGGAAGGCAGAGGCGATCCCACTGCAGACCCTTCTCCAGCAGCAGCAGCAGTCAGGTGCTTGCTCAGGGTTCTGCAGGGGCTCGGGCTAGAGCAGTGAGTTGGGTGTTAGTGTCTCGGGGTGGGGGCGACATCATGTCAGGCCTCATGGAGGGAAGCTTAGGGCAGCTTTCGCAACAGTACCCTAATTAGGAAGGGACAGGATCCAGTTCCCCTAAGCAAGCAGGACTACCCTCCGACTAGGAAAGCCATTTTCCCTAGTATAAAGGCCTATCTTCCATGCGTCTCGCCGTTGAGATTGAGCGGACAGTTCGTATACTTCGTTGCACACCAGCCTAGCCCTGTTGCTGAGTAGTTTGTCCGGCGTACTGCGGGAGATGAAGGCGATCAGAGGCACATGGATGTACTCATAGTAGAGGAAGCCCTGAGCCCTAAGCCCTGAGCTTTTTTGGCTCGAGAAGCTCTCTGATGCCCAGCCCCCAAACCATCATGGCAGCTGCAGCGCTCATATTCGCCACGCTGCTGCAGCAGGGTGCCTCGTCAGGCTGTCGCGGCGGGGTTTGCTCCTCTGGCACTGCCTGGCTACAGCTTCACGGAAGCTTCAACAAGACTTTGTCTACTGAGAGCACCTTCGGCTCCTGCGTAGCTTCCACTACTGAGCTAGGTGCTACGGATGAGATCTGCGCTCAAACTTGCAGCTACTTGGAAGTCGGCCAGTGGCCTTGTGGTGGAAACGGTCCCTGTGTCTGCAGTCAACGAACCACAGCTGCACCCACAGTGCCTCCCACGACGACCATGCGCAGCACCACTGTGGCGGCTACCACCACCACAACCACCACAACCACCACGGCCAGGACCACCCCGTCCACCACCACCAGGGCAGGTACCACGGTCACCTTGTCCACTCCGTCCTCCACGCTGGCACGGTCGATTCAGGTGCTGGAGAGCTCCAACTCGGATGGGGTGTTCATGTACGACACCGGCAATGGGTGGCTGCCTTCCGACATCTACACGTGGCCAGACATGATCCAGGCGGTGCGCTTGATGGCTACAAGTGGTGTGGGGAGCCTGAAGCTGTGGCTGGGCGACACGAACCACCTGTATGGCTTGGTGAATGTGGCGGCTTTCTTGGCACAGTGCATGCAGGAGACCATTCAGTACAATGCCTGCGATGAGAACAACTGGAGTGACAAGGCCGTAGTTCAGGAGGCGGGAGGCTCGGTTTACTCATCGGCATCGGCGTGTGGACAGCTGCACCAGTCGTACCAGGATTACAGCTGCTCGCCCGAGGAGGACGCCCTGGCTGGCGGGAAGATGGCCTGTGACGTCGACCCCAACATGGAGATGCGGGCCTTCACGCAGGCCGGGTGGTACGGTGCTCCTGCCAAGCTCTTCTGTGCTCCGAGGTCCAAAGTGCCGAAGGCTCCCAGGTGGGACTACAGTGCTCCATGGTGTGCACCAGAAGACGGATATGGCCATGTCGCTCCCTTTGCGGACGACGTCCCCCTGGACGAGTACTTTGAGTACGTGAATGGAGGTGGCAGCTGCAAGGATTACCAGGGCATCAAAACAGGGGGGTGGACGTTCGCAGGCGACGGCTGCGTCGACGGCGCTTGCCCAAACTCCGATGCGCCCTTGTTTGGCCAACCGGAGGGGCGCGAGGACGTGGAGGGCTGCTGCTGGTGGGGCCGAGGCGTCATCCAGACGACCGGAACCTGCAACTTTGGCAAGCTGAACTTCTTTATGGGCAAGAGGGCAGCGGATGAGGGAAGGTCCTCGATTTATCCGCAGATCGATTTTTGCAAGAACCCGAACTCCATTTGCGATCCTAGCAGCCCTGGGGAGCTGAAATGGGTCGCGGGCATGTTCTACTGGCTGAACGCCGTGCAGCCGTACACCTCGGGCGGCTGGGACTACATCGCCGAGCTCAAGAAGTGGGTGGACAACGGCATGCAGCAGGGTGACCGGTCGTTCATCAATGGGGCGTCCGGCATCGTCAACCGCGGCTGCCACAATCCGCCTAACTGCGGCACAGGGGAGCTGCACGCCGCCACAGAGCGGGCGCAAAACTTCGACAAGGTGCTCAAAGCGATGGGTCTGATGTGATTCAGCACTGACTCAGCCCGGTTCAAGTCATGGAGTTTGGTTTCTGCCTTGCATGTACACTGGGAAGCCCGAAGTGCTGCTGCGGCTTCCCATAATTAAAAAAACTTCCATTTGCCCCTCCGGGGCGTGCGGAAGAACTGCCCGTTTTGGAAATTAGGTCCTCGTGACACATCCACCTTGAAATCCCAGAAACCTGTCATGTTTAAGGGCAACCTCCCCTATACCCCACAACATGCCTCAGAACTGACCTAAATACATGATGATACATGATGGCAGGTTTGGGTTCTGAAGTAGCATGGCTTTTGTATTTTCACTGTGACCCCACTGGGCTGTGTTAGGGGAGCGCGCTACAGGGCAATCAAAAGGGCGCCCATGGCGAAGAGTGTCGTGTAGGAGGCTTCCGAATGTCAGCTTTACTTGCAGAGATCCCCAAAAACCCCACTCAAAGTCTTGAAACCCTTCCAAGTGATGCTCGGCTTTTTCAGCAAGACCATCCGTGGAAGCCTCCTTGGCATCTTGGGCTACAGGCCTTTTAGTCCCTCCCGCCTAACGCCAGCCACAGCCATGCTGACAAAATTGGTCAGCTGGGGCATTGTGAAGACCTGGGCACGGAAGGTCCCAGATCTGCAGGGTGCATAGTCTGGTAGGCTCACGCCGATCGGAGTCACAAGCCAACAACTGTTCGTGTGGACGCCTTGGCCTGGTTTAAGCGTTGCTGTTGCTACAGTGTATGCTACTGCTACAGGTTTAGGCTCAAGGGGAGCTGGAGATTGGAGGCACAGTGGGTCCGCACAGAAACAGGGAAGGTCTCAAAAAGAGACTCGGCGAGACATGCCATAGTTGTCCAGCAGCTCAGTGCCTCTGGAGAGCTTCCGCCTAGTGATGCGACACAAGGTGTCCAGACTGGAGAGCACTCAAGCATTGCTGTGAACAAGAAACGCCCAGCCACCCCACCCCCCCCCCAAACCCCGAAGAAACTCTCAGAGTTCACGGTGCATCACAGCGTGTGTTCGAGCTGAACAGTGCCAAGAACATCTACCATTGTATAAGTGTCAAGGAACCCGAACCCGAGCGCACGCCCCAGAGGCGATCCCACGGCAGATGATTCTCCAGCAGCAGCGGCGGCGGCCGAGTCTGCCGCGTTGTACAAGAATACCTAGCAATCCGAACCCTAGCACACGCCCCAGGAAGGCAGAGGCGATCCCACTGCAGACCCTTCTCCAGCAGCAACAGTCAGGTGCTTGCTCAGGGTTCTGTAAAAGCAAGCTCGATGATTGCTCATGGTTTAGGTAGCGGCTCGGACTAAAGCAGCTAGGTGTGAATGGCACTCGGGTGTAGTGCGATTTTCAGCGTCAGAAAGTGATGCTATAAGACTGGAGCCCCAAATGAACACAACACATTTTATTACCCTTATAAGGAAGAATCGTTTTGTTTTTTTTGGGTGTTGTTAAGCAAACCTTCCTAGGGGCTTTGGTCATGTCCTTGATGCAATGGTGATGGTGAACTGCTAAGCCAACATACCATGTCGCACAGTATGACATGCCATACATTCTATTATTCGTTTGCGGCTACGTATCCCCTAAACCGTAAACCCTAGACCCTAAACCCTAAACCCTAAACCCTAAAAATGACCGTTTTGGCAAGTTGCAGGACCAGAGTGTGACCTGCGGGCCCAGCCCAGCGCGCCATGCCACTCTTTACCAGCACGTTTTCACATCTCTCCACCGTCGGCCATTATTTTCTAAAAGGGTTTAGGGTTTACTGTAGGGTTTAGGGGTTAGGGGTTAGGGGTTAGGGTTTAGGGTTTAGGGTTTAGGGTTCAAGGTTTTTCAAAGAAAAGGGTTCAGGGTTTAGGGTTTCGAGTTTCCTGAGAAAACTCTTTGCCTACAGTTTCATGGGAGTTATACCTACGAATTCAGGGTAGGTAATACGCTAAACTGTAGGTAAAACTAGGACCCGGAGCAGGCCCTGATTTCCTTTCTTAGGGAATTATAGCCCTCTTGAAAGCAAAAAGGGCACCCTGCTTTTCCTAGGTTACTCTTGGGTCTAGGTAAATCGAGTCCCAGGTAGAAGCTTCAACTGGCACCCTCTTCCGCTCTCCCAGACTGTCCAAAGTTGGCCTTAAATGTCAATTTTGGGTTTAGGGTCTGGGGTTTAGGGTTTAGGGTTTAGGGTTTAGGGTCTAGGGTTTAGGGTTTAGGGGTACCTTGTTGGAGCCCTTATTTTAAGGGAATCCTCCTCGGTGGGGGGTGGGGGGTATAATAGGGGTCCCTTATTTTCGTAAACCCCCCATTTGGCAGAGCCTGATGGCCTCCGGCTCGGCATTCGAATGCTCCCTGATGAAGCCCTTCATGAAACTTCGGTCAGAGCCTTTCCCGTAGCTTTACTAACGTAATTCCCTCGGTTCTTGAGGGGTGCTTCCACTTGTTCCATGCTGACGCCAAGCTCAACACGTCCTGGTAGCGGGCGCCTGAACTTTAGAATTGCATGATGGTCGTCATGCTCGAAATTCATTGCTTGCCTTGGGATATCTTGGGATACCCCACGGCGTGTGGCAGCCGCCATCTGCAGAGTTCCCCCGCGAGGGTCCGGCTCTGCTGACCAGAGCCTTACGAGCTGCCAAAAACGGCTGAGTGTCTCGGAAGGTTCCGGGGTTTGGGTGTGTTTTGGGGCATCAAGTGTAGAGTCGGGTGTACAGGGCTGGCCAACGTCCTAGCATGTTATGCCTCTCGGCATGCGTCAACGTGTGGCTTGATGACTCAGCGCACACCTAGCAGCTTGATTCAGCATGGCAAGATGGCGCTACCCGAAACCCGAAACCCGAAACCCTAAACCCTAAACCCTAAACCCTAAACCCTAAACCCTAAACCCTAAACCCTAAACCCTAAACCCTAAACCCTAAACCCTAAACCCTAAACCCTAAACCCTAAACCCTAAACCTACATACTTCAGAAAAGCCAAAGAATCAAAGCCCTGGGGCCCGAAGCTCTGAACTTCTTCGCATTTTTCTGGCTCAAGACATGCCTTCTTCAAGCTTTGACGGGCAAGCTCTGCTAGCTACAGCACGCCTCGGCGCCCGCTCCTAGGCGTTCAGCATGTCAGGCCTCATGGTCAACAGTTCAGGGGGAACCCCGAGGAGGGGCATGATCCAGATACGATAGCCAAGCCGGGGTGGGGCAAAAGAATGGATGACGCCTGGGCGCTGCCCTCAGTTTCTGCTATGGCTTAGGTTCATGAGGGCTTTAGAGTTCGGCTTTGCTTGGTTCGGACCTCATGATCAGGTCCTCTTTCAGGAAAGGTTCAGAAGGCTGAGGGTTTAGTAGGGTGTTGATAAACCGCCAATCTTTTGTTGACCCCCATCATATTGTGTTCGTTCATCTTTGTACATGTTGCACCCCGTTTAAGGGCTTCGTTGAAAGGGCTTATCGTGCGTATATACCCTAATAGGGATTCTAGTAGTATCTATTGCAGGGTTCATTTGGGGGTTTCCGAAATCAGGGGTCCCGGGGTACCTTATTGGGGTCCTGATTACAAGGGAATCCTACTATCTGCGGGTCTATGTTCGGGATCCTTATGATAAGGGAATCCTACTATCTATGTTAGGGGTCCCGTATTTCGTAAAACTCCATTTGGTCCCCAGAACCCTAAACCCCAAACCCAAGCGACGAAGTGGCAGGTCGCCAGCTTCATCGAAGAGGCGGAAGGCGGGCACGTCTTGGCCTTTGCTTCATAAAAGTTTGCCCCGGACCTCCATTCATATTCTGGTATAGTATATAGAATAAGGGTTTAGGGTTTAGGGTTTAGAGTAGGGTTTAGGGTTTAGGGTTTAGAAAAGGAACTACACTCAAGCTTGGAGGCGCTTCTCATCCCAGGTTGGTTTGGTTGGCTCGTATGTCTCTTTCCCAAAATGGGGGGGAAACCCCTTGTATACCCTAAATAGAATAGAATCCCCTTATCGGGACCCCCAAAAAGGGTCCCTAAACCCTAAACCCTAAACCCTAAACCCTAAACCCTAATTTCGGAAACCCCCAGATTTCTTGCGGCTGAGTTGATTCGAGTGCCGACCAAGCTGTGGCCTCTCATTCAGTACGGTTCATGCGGCTAAGCAGAAGCGTCATGTATACATGTATATATGTATATGCCAAGCAGAAGCGTCATGTATACATGTATATATGTATATGCAAACTTCTATATCTTTTTCTATATTTATATCTATATTATATATATATATACATATATATATATATATCTATCTATCTATATAGATTATAGAAGTATATATGTGAATACATAGAAAATTAAATAAACAAATAAACAAACAAACAAATAAATAAATATAAATATATATATATATATATATATATTCATAAAGCATTTAACAATGACCCACAACCGCCCCCCCTCTCCACGCCACCTCCCCCACTCCACCGGCAGACAGCAAAGGCCGGAAAGACGAAGCAGCTGGTTGAGGCTGCATGCCGCTTAGGACTTCGGTTTCGCGTAGGGCAACTTGGAGGTGCAGTCTTCAGGATTTACACGGTTTGCGGTGGCCCCTCTGTGCGTGGATTTCGAGTATAGCCCTCAGCTGTCCAAGCCAGCTTCTTCGACTTCAGCTTGGAAGATCCTGTCATCGAAGATGACCTGCAGAAACTTGTTGTTGAACCAGCATTGGGAGGGCGCCGCTCACCCCGAAGTAGCGGCATGTTTTTTCCGAGACAAGTGGTGTCATGAACCGTGGATGTTGTGTGACAGGCCAGAGAGCACTGCACTGAGGTCAGAAGTGAGAGGTGTGCCCTAGACGCGGTTGCCCGATGCTCAGCAAATCGGCATCACTCGGGCCACCATGGACGGGACTGCGCTTCGGATTTAAGTTTATAGGTGTCAACTGCTGCCGAAGTAATCCAGTGCCTGTGAATTCCACCCCCCCAAACTGCTGGACGTCAGGCCTGATGTATGGTCTCAGTCGCTGTCAGGACACTCTCAGTTTAAGGTTTTTGGGGAGGAAAGCAACCATACCTTGTCAGGCTTTCGGGTGATCACCCCTAGACCCTAAACCCTAAACCCTTGAGTGTGTGTGCCCCCAGGGATGGACAAAGTTCAATTGCCCTTTCATGCAGGCCGTCCTCGGCATCGCTTCACTTAAGGCCAGACTTTGCAAAGCGCTGGCCGTTTAGGGTTGAGGGTGTAAGCCATTTTTGGCTTGGGGAGCAAATTTTGGGCTTTGGGGGCCAATTTTGGGCTTTAGAGGTTGATTTTGGGCTTTGGGGTGCCAATTTTGAGCTTTGGAGCCAATGTTGGGCTTTCGGGGCCAATTTTGGGCTTTGGAGCCAATTTTGGGCCCTGGAGCCCAAAATTGGGCTTGAGGGGCCAATTTTGGCTTTGGAACCAATTTTGGGCTCTGGGAGCCAATTTTGGGCTCCGGAAGCCAAAATTGGGCTTGGGGGAGCCAATTTTGGGCTTTGGAAACAATTTTGAGTTTTGGCGGCCAATTTTGGGCTTTGGGAAGCGATTCGGGCTTTGGGAGCCAATTTTCGGCTGGCAAAAAGGTTTATGGGGTTTAGGGTCAGAGCGCAAGCGAGGTGTGAAAGGTTCGGCCCTACATCTTCTGGATCTCTATGATGTGGGAGTTTGGCCAAAGAGGGATAAGTGTAGATAAATTACACGCCTTTTGTAGAGATCGTTTTTGCCAGGCTGCCTAAAGATAACAAGCGCCCTGCAGGGACTGGTCGATCTTGCTTGTTTGCGTCCAAGATTCTCATTTCAAGGATGCCCGCTTCGCGAAGAGACTTCCACCCCAGAAAACACCTTCTGCTTGCCTGAGGGGATGGGCTTGGTGTGGTTCCTGAAGCCTAGCCAGGGGCAGATTCAAGCGGAAATGCGTGGGGCACCCCATCCATGAGTATTCTATATGATATGTCCATATACGTATATGTATATGTATATATATATATATCACAATATATACATACAACATATTATATATATATATATGTATACATGTCGCCTGCATGCCGTCGGAAGCCATTTGAAGGCTTGGAGGGCTGTCCAGGCCTGGAGCGAAGAGGTTGTCGGGGGGTGCATTGCCAACCTTGGGGACCACATGAACCCTAAAATTGGGGTCATATACCCTATACTACTATAATTCCTATTGAGGTTTACGAACCATAAACCCTTTTAAGTTTCATTTCGTCCCCAAGGAATGTTGCGACGCATGCGACGTGCGTGGCTGGCGCTTGCCGTGCTTTTGCCATGTCTGCTCCGGCGCTCCTCCAGGGATGTCACCTGGGTCAACCCTGGGTACGCAGCACGCGCATGGAGGACACCGCTGCGTGCTGGCTCGAAGGACGTGGTCGTTCGGCTACCGGAAGAGCGCACGGCAGAAGGAGCCCCACACTAGCACATGTACATCGCATGTGCGAGGGTGTTGCCCTGCATGAGAGTTCCGTACTAGAGTTCCGTCCTCAACCCAAGATCCTCCCAGCAGGGTTCAGGAATGTCCAGGAGAAGAGACTGACGCTTCCGGCAACCCGAAACGCCATGCTCCCCCAAGCCCTACGGTAAACCCCAATCCTGAACTTTGGTAGACGCTCAGCCCCCCCCCCCCCCCCCCCACCCCCCGCTCCATCCGGCCGGAGTCAGGAGATGACCTGCTGCAGACCAGCACTGTTTATTCGCCGGATGCAAAGCCTCCGGACGGGCCTGGGAAGGCTGCGAGATTTGTTTGGGGATTTCGGATTTGGGGTTTAGGGTTTAGGGTTTAGGGTCTCCGGATTTGGGTTGGGTTTGGTCTCGAGTCTTCGTAAAGTCGGCGGAATGCTCGCCTTGCTACGTGCCAGTAGAGTTGGCAGAGCTGCCCCCCCCCACCCCACCCCCCCCCCCTGGTCACCCCCCCATGACCCCCCCCCCCCCCAAATTCTTTCCCCGCCCCGTCCCCCTGTGGTTTGGGCCGGAACCATATATAGAGCAACCCGGTTACCACAAAAGATCAGGAATCGGAAGTTTATGTGTGGGTATCTTTCCAGTGACCAACCAGTACTACAGAAGGTGGACAGAGTTGACGTGACATGCTTACCGCCGGCCTCTGAACTTTCGGAACGCCTCCTCTCCGAATACATGCTGGGTGGCTGGGCCGGAAGGGCGTATTTCGGGTGGCTTGTGTTCTTGTAGTGACTGTAGTGCCTTTGGTTTCGAAAGTGATTGTTGGTTCTTTCAGGGCTTAAGATGGGGCTTAGGGTGCTGTATGGATTTGAGGTTTCGGAGCTTCTGGTTGAGCTAGGGTTTGGTGTTTAGTTCAGGGGAGACAAAAACTGGTTTTGGATTTAGGGCTTAGCATATCTTAAATCCTTCGCGTGCAAGTGGGCTAGTAGAACATTCTAGTCGAACTGCAGAAGCTGCCTGCTGGTGGGAGGCTTTGATCGAGCAGTCAGACAATTTGTTGGGCTCATGGTTGAAGCGGTCCTTCGTGAACTCGATGTTGAGAGCCCTTTTCGGGAGTTCGCCCAGAATGAACTTAAATCCCCAGCACGCCAGGTACAACTCAGCTCCTCCCACTCCGGGGTGTTCTTGGCGGAAGCGTTTATGCACGCACATTGCGCAAGCAGATCAGGCAGTGCGCCAAGAACAGTGGAAGCGTCCTCGTTTTCGGTGAGAAAGGAACAAGAAAAGATATGCGACCAGGCTCCGGCAATCCTTATATTGTTTTAGGGTTTAGGGTTTAGGGTTTAGGGTTTAGGGTTTAGGGTTTAGGGTTTAGGGTCCTTGAAAGAAGTACGAGTACTTTTGAAAGCAGCCCGCAAGGTTGGCCTTCCTAATCCACTTTGCTCGGCGAAGGGGCAGCCTCTACTTTGTGGATTGCAGCGCGGTTTCCGTCAAAGGCGCGCGGATCTTTGGGCGTCGTGCTTACCCGGGCCTTCTAGACCTGGCGAAGGAAGGGACGCTGGTGTTCAACAACGTGGATAAGCTGAACAAGGCTCTCCTGCCGAGAGTTGTCCAGCTGGCCCTGAATGGGACGTATTGGTCCAAGGCGCGTGAGATGGAGATGCAAAGCAAGCTCAAAGTGACTTGGTAGCCCAGTGGTACCCTTGGCAAAAAAGGGCTATGGTTTCTTCTACAACCACCAACCCAAGGGTGCCCTTATGATAATATGGTTGCTGGGCTACCAAGGTGATCTTGATTGCTGAGGAGCGGGCCACGTGGCTCGAGTTCGCCTCGGGTCCCAAGGTAGCTCAAATCAAGGTGCCATCGCTGCGCGTGAGGCGCCAGGATATTGAGAGCATGGTCCGGTACGAGCTACGACGAGTCACCCGAGGTACTGGGCAGCCGATACCTGCCATAGAGCCTCAAGCTTTGAAGAGACTGCAAGCCTATGACTTTCCCAACAACGTCAGGGAGCTGTTCCTTGGGGGCCAAATGAACCCCCAAAAGGGGTTTATATGGTTCATCTACCTTAGTCATCCTTAGCCGGAATTATAGTAGTACCGGGTATATGACCCAAGTTTAGGGTTGCCATTTTTACCTAGAATCCCTTATAAAAAGGCCCTGTATTAGGGGTTCATTATGAGGAGGCTAAGGTCGAAGAGTCCATCCCTGGAAGGTTCTTTTTGGTTGACAACGCGTATCGCAACATGGACCCGGGAGGCACCATCACTTCAGATCTCCTCTGGACGGCGCAGAACGCGAAGAAGCTGGACTTGTTTAAGGCCACGCCTCTGGGCACGCGGGTTGAGGGTTGAGGGTTTTTTGGGTTTATAGGGTTTATAGGGTTTATAGGTTTTTTGGGTTTATGGGGTTTATAGGGTTTATAGGGTTTTTGGGTTTATAGGGTTTATAGGGTTTATAGGGTTTATAGGGTTTATAGGGTTTATAGGGTTTATAGGGTTTATAGGGTTTATAGGGTTTATAGGGTTTATAGGTTTATAGGGTTTATAGGGTTTATAGGGTTTATAGGGTTTATAGGGTTTATAGGGTTTATAGGGTTTATAGGGTTTATAGGGTTTATAGGGTTTATAGGGTTTATAGGGTTTATAGGGTTTATAGGGTTTAGGGTAAAATATGTATTCAACGTACCCCCAAAGAGCTTGATTCGCGTCACGACGTACACCTCCCCCACCACGGTGTCACCTTAAGGCCTGCCCTAGTGGCAGTGATTGAAGCCTTGGCTTAGTGGCTGCATAAGTACACTGTACACTTTTTGGGATACTCGAATCCTCTTATCGAACTGAAGGTGTGCACTTGTTATTTTTTTTTTTTTTGGGGGGGGGGGGGGGGGGGGCTTGTGAACTCAGCAACTGAGTTGGTGTGAGACATGCTGCAGCTCAAAGTTCGAGCTTTTGGGCTTTGAGGGCTTCGGGGACTCCTTCGGAAGTTCAGTAAACCCTAAACCCTAAACCCTAAACCCTAAACCCTAAACCCAGAGAGTGCTTGCAGAAAACCCTAAACCCTAAACCCTATAAACCCTAAACCCTAAACCCTAAACCCTAAACCCTAACCCTGAACCCTAAACCCTAAACCCAGGTCAGTTCGGGGCGCCGGCCCCTGAGCCCTTCTAGAGTCTTACAAAGACCAGTAGTATGCGGGACGCAAACCTTTAGCCTGATGCGCGTAAACCCTAACCCTAAACCCTAAACCTAAACCCTAAACCCTGGCCCCCGGGCCAGGTGAACCTCCTGGACATTTATCCAGGCTTGCGAGGCTTCTTGCAATCGGACTGGCTGGAACGCTTGCGCCTCGGCACCTGTCAGGGGCAAATTCTTGGCGTCCCTTCAGTTGCCCACTGAGAGCCTAACCCTAAACCCTAAACCCTAAACCCTAAAGCCTAAACCCTAAACCCTAAACCCTATAAATCCTAAACCTGAGCCCCGAAGCCTTTCACAAGGCCGTCGCACTCACGAAGCCTGCAGGAACCATGGATTCACCAAGTATGCCTTTGCGGCCTTTGTGATCCTTCTGTTTGTAGGCCCGGTGAGGGTTTAGGGTTTAGGGTATTTAGGGTTTAGGGTTTAGGGTTTAGGGTTTACCTGTAAGCCCAATTACCTGCAGTTTAGTAGCAATCGCCCCTTAATTCATAGGTATAACCTAGGCACGGCAGAGAGCGAGAGACAGAGAGAGAACCCATCAAGCTGTAGATAGCTGCGGTTACAGCTAGGGTTTACGGAGGGGAGAACAAAAAGGGGAGGGGAGAACCCGAAACCATGGCATCTGCGCGTTTGTGGCTGTGTGACACCCTACACCCTAAAACCTAAACCCTAAACCCGAAGCCCTAAACCCTAAAACCTAAATGGCTACAAGGCTCAATGCGAGAAGTCGTGTTAGACAAGACGTTCCATGGCTATGCGGCCGGGAAAGCCTAAAGAGACGCAGAAAGAGTCTTCAGCTCCTTCTTCGTCACCCCAGCCGGAAGAGAAGAAGAAGAAGAAAGCTGACCCTCTAGAAGAACCTGCTGCCAAGAAATCCAAACGCGATGAGGCAGGGAAGACGGAGAAGACAACGGACGAGAAGGACCAGCCTGATGACGAGATGATGGAAGAAGATGGTTCTGAAGCATGGGACAGCATATTCGGCGGCCAGTCCGCAGAGCGAGAGCAAGCATACCATCAGATGCAACTCTCCGGACTACTCCACATCAGTTGGGATGGAGAGAGAGAGCAGCCGACAGGTGGATTTCCCACCGAAGGACTCGTGGCTGCAGCAGATAACTACCGTCTCTACACGAACGAGAACCCGATGGCCCCTCGAGAGCTGGCTGATCATTTCTCGACCAGAAACAGTTCCATCGGGCACAACACAAGAGAGCTGCACAAAGTCACGCGTCTGCCAAAATATGTTGTCAGTCTTTTCTGCTCCGCCTTCGAAACAGGTGTCATGATTGGTGGGGCGCCGACGGAGGCTAGCAAGAAGCCAGATCTCTTCATCGACCCAGAGTACACCGACACCTTCGACCCGTGCGAGTTCATAGTAGAAGGGACAAGCAAGACGATGAAGGACGTGCAAGCCGAAGAGCATGCCAGAGACATACGTCACTTCACGAACAAGTATTTCAAGGCTGTCGGTCAATTGCTCATGGCCGTCGTGGTCAACAGTTTTTCTCGTGCACACGTCATCATGCCAGGCAAAGCTGACAACTTCAATGCCAGCTCTGCAAACTCGGAAATAGCAACAAAGGCCAAGGCTGCAATCAGGATGGCGATGGAAGCCCTGGCTCAGGTCTCGAAGTCGATACTTGGCGAGGAACCTGAGGAGGCCGAGATTGACGACGAGCTCCTCATCAAGTTGTTCTACAGCCTGAGCAAGAGCCTGAGCCGACGCTCATTAGCCTACAAACAGGTCATCCAGCTGAGGCTCAAAGAAGGCCGATTGCAGGACTTGCGCTACTACCCGATCTATGGCTGGAAAGTGGCCGAGGTAGATGGTATGGAAGGAGAGCACTGGGTTCGTTGCAACTGTTTCCTCCCTCTCAACGAGGACTCGAAGAATCGATTCGAGACGGGCCGTACCACTTGCGTACCGTTGAGGGCTGCAAAGAAAATCGCATCCTCGGCACCGATAGGTGGCCTGTTGATTCCTTCCGTGAAAGCTGCTGTTGCCGGCTACACTGCAGCGCTGGCCACGTCAGCACTCGATCCATTTGTGACGATACCTGGAGTGGTTGAGGAGCAACCGAGCAACTCCACGGTCAACAACTTTGTTTCGGCATTGGCCGACTCGGCCATGAGGACTGCTACAAGGAAGCTTCAATCGCTTCATGCTGGCATCATCGAAGGCGAAACATCGCGACCGTCATTGTTCAGGAGTCATCGAAAGGCGACGGAGGATCATCCCGAGCTTTCCAGGCTTGGCATTGTGATCGGGGCTCAGATGGCAGCTAGCAAAGACGACCTTCCCGCAGTGACAGCCTTTCTGAAGCTGATCAAGAAAAAGATCGGAGCAGAAGCCGAGGGGCTCGATGCTTCACGGTTTGTACTTTTGGGGTGCTTTCCATGCAGGTCTGGTTTGCATGTTTCATCTTCTGTTAGCTCTGCGTGATGAATCCTTGTGCAATGCGCGGTGAGGTCCACACCCTTTGGCCCTTAAAACCCCCCCCCCCCACCTACTAGAAGCCCGTTTGACCTATTTTGATGACCGTTCTGATGAGACTAGCATCCTTCACTGGGATCCTGCCTGTCACTTTTGGTCTTGTGACCTGAGACATGGCCAGTAGAACACCCGATGTGGGGCCTTTGTTTTGTTCTTTAGTGTGATGTTCAGCTTGTGTTTTGGTATTGCGGAGTTCTGCTGGTCCATGACAGATGTACAAAAACATGATTGGAGCCTGTAGTTTTGGAGATGGGACAGATGGACCTTTCCTTCTGGGAGGGGGATCTGCATGTCTATCCTTACTGAGACTGTATGAGCAAGGTTTTGATTTTTCAGTGTTTCTACATTCCCCCTTCTGGAGAAGTCGAGCAAAGTGCAAGTCGTCTAGGAGGCCCTGGATGAGACGCCAGCCACAACCTTTCCACTGTTTGGATCGATGTAGTTTTTGGTTGCTTGGTGGTGGTGCTTAACATTGTTTGGATCTATGTGGTTTGGGGTTGGTGTGGTCTTGCTGGCATTGTATTTCTCCAGGGACCTGGTTGCTCGGAGATACTCTGGGCTTGACCACTGGGATGGCACTGGCACATCCTCGCTGGGAACCTGCCTGTCCTTTTGGTCTTATGACCTGAGAAGGGGTCTTTACTGCTTCTTGACTTTGTGGGCTGCCACTGTACAAGAGCCTGAATGGCCAGGCGGCATGAGTCAGAGTGGCAGAGCCTCGGGGTTGAAATGGGCAGTGGAACACCTAACGTGGGTTTTTTAATTTATACATCTAGCGTATTGATCAACTTGGGGGTTGTACTATGGTGTTTCGCTGTCAGTGATGGATGTACAAAATGATTGAAGCCCGGAGCCTTGGAGAGGAACAGATGGGCTTTTCTTTCTGGGAAGGGATCTGCAGGGGATCCGTGTGTTCTGTTCCTTTGGTATCTAATCTGTTTGCACTTGTCTTTCTAGAATGATCCCCGTATGATCCCTTTGTCTCTTATAATGCTGGCTTTAAAAGCATTTCTTTCTCCTACCACACAGTATTTCCGGAACTAGTCCCTGCAACGTGGTCTGAGTGTCAGCTAGGCGGATGGCAACAAAAACCTAAATGGCCTGAAGGACCGCAGACCTTTGCGGACAACTTCGGCCTAAATCTTTTCTGGGCCTGGTGGTGGCCGGGCACCTGGGTCATTGTTGAAAATCATTTCAGTTGTTTATGTATACTTCAAACCCCACAAGGAACAAACATGGCCATTTTCAATAGCACCCCAAGAATGGTTACTCAAAACCCAATAAGGAGCAAACATGGTCATTTTTTATAGTACCCCAGCAATGGTTACTTAAAACCCAACAAGGAACAGAAATGATCATTCTTCATAGCACTCTAACAATGGTGCAGGCATCTTGCTCACATACCCCATTGTGGGACGCTTCTGGTGCGTGCCTTGGACCAGAGTTTAGGGTTTGGGGTTTAGGGTTTAGGGTTTAAGGGTTTAGGGTTTAGGGTTTAGGGTTTAGGGTTTAGGGTTTAGGGTTTAGGGTTTAGGGCCTTAAGCTGCGGGAGACGCTGAACTGCTCGTAAAAGAACCCTCTAAGACCCTCTTTACCTACAGTTTCATGAGTTAGACCTACTAACTGAAGGTAATTCCTACGAAGGACACATGGACTTTTGAAACTGCGGGAAGACAGTGTCGTGCACAAAGCTGCAGGTACAGGGTTTGGGCAGAGTTTTGTATCCTTGCTCGGTTATCCTAAACCCTAAACCCTAAACCCTAAACCCTAACCCTAAACCCTAAACCCTAAACCCTAAACCCTAAACCCCGTGGAGCATGGCTAGACGGGTGGCAAAAAAACCGTAAACCCCACGCGTTCTTTCAATTCCTGAAGGGGGCTCCACGGTTTCCTTGCTGATATGTTAAGCAAGGAGGCTTCCCCAAACCCTAACCCTTTTCCCTAAACCCTAAACCCTAAACTCTAAACCCCAAACCCTAAACCCTAAACCCTAAACCCGAAACCACCACCAACCTTAACAGCTCAACAGCCTCAAGGCCATCTGCCCTTTCATGATCCTTGGCTTCGATAGGGTTTAGGGTTTAGGGTTTAGGGTTTAGGGTTTAGGGTTTAGGCCGGTTTAGGGTTTAGGGTTTAGGGTTTAGGGTTTAGGGTTTAGGGTTTAGGGTTTAGGGTTCAGGGTTCAGGGTTTAGGGGAGAAGCGAGATTTGATTTGTTGGTCACGTTGGCTCTGCGGAGGGCCTATTTTTTTTTTGCCATGTTCACGAGACGAACCCTGAGCCTTAGGCGGCTCGAACCCGAACCCTAACCCTAAGGCTCTAAGGCCTCTTATTTTTTCGGTTTTGGGACCCGAAGGCCTTCCTACAAGGGTTTTTAAGGACTCTTATTTTTCGGTTTTGGGGCCCGAAGGCCTTCCTTTATGAGGGTTTCTTAAGGACTCTCATTTTGCGGTTTTGGGACCCGAAGGCCTTCCTTCATGAGCTTTTTTGGTTGTGATATTTTGAGGCTAAGGGAAAGCCTTTCAGCCAAGGATCTATGGGGAGGTGGTGCAGCGATGGCGGCTGGGTCACACGCCCAACGGGGTTTAGGGTTTAAGGTTTAGTTTTTTAGGGTTTAGGCCGAACTTGAGAAGCTGCCAAATAACCAATGAACCCTAAACCCTCAACCCTAAGCGCCATTACAACCTCTGTCCCTTTTTGCAAGCAACACGAGGTCAGGGGGCCGTCCTCCAGAAGTGGCCAACCCGGCAGCTGGAAGACTACGGACCCCTACTGACTGCTTACAAGACCCCCCCCCAAACAAACAAACAAGAATGATAGTAATGATAAACAAATATTCTTCCCTACAAATGTCATAAGGCGATAATTAGGTTTAATGAACTAGTAACAAATTACATATATATATATATGATTCGTCCCTATAAAAGGTAATACGGGGATGATATTTGTTTGCATGTTTTGGGGATTCTGAAGCAAACAGTAGGACCTTGGTTCCTTTTCCTCCTCTTCTTCGGCATCCTCCTGTGGGAGGCACATGCAGGGGTTTAATGGCCCTTCCTTTGAGGCTGGGCCCCCCTAAACCCCAAACCCTAAACCCTAAACGCAATTTAACCGCTTCAAGCCATCGAGAGTTGCAGGGCCGGCCTTCTGCCTCTGCAGGGGTTTTTGTCTGAACATTCCCTCAAGTGCTTGTGGAAGAAGGCCCCGAAAAACAATGGACCATTAGACTTTCGATCCCTGTATCTTGGCACTTCAACAGCAATGCTCTTGCAACCCTCTTCAGGGCCTCGAAATCCAGCAAGCTTTCCCTCCAACAGGAACTGTGGGTATTGGAAAACACTGCATACTTGTCCTCTTGCCTTCTGCTCCTGATCACCTTCGGCGCTTCTTGGCTATGTTTGAGAAAGCTTTCCCCTCGTCTCGCCTTCAAAAGTAGTCAAGTCCTAGCTAGGCCTTTGGGATACTATAGTTTTCCCTTATTGGGTTTAAGAGGATCCTATGTAGGAATATTTATCAGAAGGTTTTTAAGGGCCATGCTCGAATCCGGTCTTTCTCCAGAGAGCGGGCGCTGGGAACGTCCTAAACCCTGAACCCTGAACCCTGAACCCTAACCCCTAAAACCCTAAACCCCTAAACCCCTAAACCCCTAAACCCCTAAACCCCTAAACCCCTAAACCCCTAAACCCCTAAACCCCTAAACCCCTAACCCCCTAACCCCCTAAACCCCTAAACCCCTAAACCCCTAAACCCCTAAACCCCTAAACCCCTAAACCCCTAAACCCCTAAACCCCTAAACTCTAAACCCCTAAACCCTTAAACCCCTAAAAACCCTAAAACCCTTAAAACCCCTAAACCCCTAAAACCCTAAACCCTTAAACCCCTAAAACCCTAAAACCCTAACACCTCAACCCTTAAAACCCTAAAACCCTAAACCCTAAACCCCTAAAACCCTCAACCCCTAAAACCCTAAAACCCCTAAAACCCCTAAAACCCTCAACCCTAAACCCTAAACCCTAAACGGAGTCTTAAGGCCATGGTGGGCTCTTGGTTCTTTGAGCGGCGCGTTTGGTGTCGCCATCTCTGCCCCATCGGCGGCATGAATGGCCTCTACGTCAGCTTGGAGCAAGAGGAAAGCCACCACCTGTTCTCGTTTTGTAAAAATATAGGTTTAGGGTTTAGGGGTTTAGGGTTTTAGGGGTTAGGGGTTTAGGGTTTAGGGTTGTAAAAGACGTGAATCTCAGAACCCCACTCTTGAGGCTACCCCCCTCCCCCCCCCCCCCCCACCACCCCCCCCACCGCAGACAGGCAGGGTTTGGGCCTCTCTAAACACTGCTCTCCAGCCCCCCCCCCCCCCCCCCCCCCCAAACAGCGCACCCCCGCAATCGCCACCTCCAGATCCTTCCCCACCCAGGGTCCCCGCCGCAACTGGTATAGCCTTAAATCTGAAACCCTAAACCCCAAACCCTAGGCCCCAAACTGCCACACCACCACGGGGCCGAAGCCGACATCCCAGGCCAAGTTGGCACTGACCGAGCTCCGTTCCCAACAGGGGGAGTGCAAGGCTTGCTGATTCTGTGCTTGGGCTTTCTATTCTTGTATTGGCGGGGTGGGGGGTTTGGGGTTTAGGGTTTAGGGTTTAGGGCGTCTTCTTCTTCTTCATCTTCTTCTTCTAGTATTGGAGAGGGCGGGCAACTGCCCAAAATGAATTATGTATCTCCCCCCTGAAACCCTAGACCCTCAACCCTGCTGAAAGTTTGTGAGAGGCCTCGTGCTCAACTTTCCACTGCTACAAGGGTGGGCCCGAAGAGGGCGAAGGGCAGGACTCGCGGCCAAGATCGAGTTCATGAGCTCATCTGGGTTTTTGGGTACTGTAACTTTCATACTTATTTTGGTTCTTGGTTCCTATTCTTGCTACTTATACCCAAAAAGTATACGCCTTTTGTTTTTATAAGGGTCTGCTCCAAAGTAGGGTCATGAAGTATATATGCCAGGAATGCTAGTAGATATTCTCATGCATACTGAAAACATGCATTTGTTGGTATTGTAGTAATCGACTTCTTGTTTTGTGTGGGTTGGTTGGGGGCTGGGCCCTAAACCCTAAACCCGAAACCCTAAACCCTAAACCGCTTCTCAACAGCGGGGGGGGGGGGGGGGGGGGGGAGGGGGCAGCAAAGGAAACGAATGGCTGCCCGCTCTACTCACACCCTGCCAGTCTGAAAGACAACAAGAGCCTCGGGCATGGCGGGAAGATCGATCTTCCGGTTTACGGTTTAGGGTTTAGGGTTTGGGGTTTGGGGTTTGGGGTTTAGGGTTTGTTTAGGGTTTAGGGTTTAGGGTTTAGGGTCTAGGGTCTAGGGTTTAGGGTTTAGGGTTTAGGGTTTAGGGTTAGGGTTTAGGGTTTAGGGTTTAGGGTTAGGGTCTAGGGTTGAGGGGTTAGGGTTCTTTGGGCAGTGTTTTGGGGGTTCCCCCTTGAGTATCTTCAGCTCCCCCCGGCCTGCCCAAGAAGGTAATTTGGGCTGCAATGGCTTCGGGCGAGGGTTTCGGAAACCGCAAGTTGCCCTTCCCAGAGTTGATCCCAGGAACTGCGTGCTTTGCTTCACGTGCCTGCGGGCCTGCCCGCATCGCACGGTACAGGTGCGCGGCCCAGCCTCCCACCCCGAGTCCCCTTTCGGAGCCCAGGTGTGAAATCCCGAAACACCCAGTTCAGGGTTTAGGGTTTAGGGTTTAGGGTTTAGGGTTTAGGGTTTAGGGTTTAGGGTTTAGGGTTTAGGGTTTAGGGTTTAGCGAAGCTTCAACGGCTCTCAAGAACCCAAGATGAGGGAAACATCCAACTATCCCAAGGGCCTTAGAAGCTGAAGCCCCTTGTTTCAGGTGAATCTCCGCGCTCCCGGGATAGACTTTGGCTTCAGCCTTGGCACTGGCCATGCGTCATCGCTTTGGGTTTAGGGTTAGGGCTGTTAGGGGTTCAGCATGGTGCGGATTGCAGAGACCCTTGCGCACGTCGGGCGTTGATCTCTTCGGCCCAGGCTTCCCGTTTCTGTTTCCGATTCCCGGAACAAACGCCTCATCTCAGCATGAGCCAAGCTTGCCAGAGCTGGCACTGCTCTTCCTTCTGTTGGGCGCAGTGTTCTGCCACCACCTACAGGACCGAGACACGCGAGTGCAGCATGCTTAGCAGGTGTCACCTTTCAGCCCCTCTTGCGATGTGCAGGGAGGCCCCAAAGATAGGGACCCATCATCCCTAAACCCTAAACCCTACGTCCTAAACCCCAAACCCTAAACCCTAAACCCTACACCCTAAACCCTAAACCCTGAAACCAAGACGAGGACCTCGTAGTGCAAGCTGGCGCGCCACCAACACTGCTGGACGATTTCGCGGTGCATTCAGCGTTGGCAGTGGCTAGGATGAGCTTGGGCCCTCGACCCGGACCCTGAGATTTGATGGTTACACATGGCTACTTGCATCCCTGGCCTTAAACCCTAAACCCTAAACCCTAAACCCTAAACCCTAAACCCTAAACCCTAAACCCTAGGCTGTCTCCCACACACCCCCCGACATGCAAGGTGGCAGTGCTGCTGGGTCCAGGTATCTTTGTCTGGCTTCTGGATCGGCTGGCCCGGAGCCGCCCGGGGTAAACCCTAAACCCTAAACCCTAAACCCTAAACCCTACATTTTTTTTGTATGTGTGTGTGTGTTCTTCTCGATTTAGGGTTTAGGGTACAATGTGGTAGAATATACTAGACTTTACTACTATATGCTATAACATATACTAGTTACGAGAATGAATTCACATTCACTACAAAACAAAAAGATGCCATTGTACCACTTGGAGAAACACGAAAATGAAGTTTCAGCTCATGAGCCCGCTAACATGTGGCCCAGGGATCGTGGCCCCAGCCAAGGTTGCAGTGCTTTGGTGTATCCGGATCAGAAGGTCTTGAGCCGTGGGGTATTCTTCAGCATGCTTTCTTACCACCCTTAACCCTAAAAACCCTCGTCCTAGAAACCCTAAACCTTAAAAATCTCGAACCTGAACCGCAACATGCCTGGTCGACAAGATGCACAAGCAAAGGCCGAAAACCCTGAGCCCTATAACGCTGACACATCTCAGGAATGACTTCGTGGCTTTGGGCTACAGCTACCTGCCCCTCACGTGGCTTGCTTCCCTGGCGCACTATCTGATCCCAGGCCTCACTATGGGGCTCAGGACACCCCAACCCCACAAACTCTCAGACCCCCTCCCCAAAAGGAGCCAGAACCCAAACCGCCCACCCTTTGCCTCCTCCGGAAAACCCTCGATTCCCCCCCCCGAAGCCGGCTTTCAGTCGAGCCTTCTTCTCCTAAACCCTACACCAAGAACCCCAAACTCTTCCAAACCCTCCCAAGGAAACTCGGCTTGGTGGACGCCGGGAAGGTTCTCCCCACCGCTGCCCGCACCTGCGGCTTTTTTGCGGCGGGGTTGGCCCAGCTCCCTGGCAGAAGCTGGGGTGTATCGAGGATGCCTGGGGCTGCGCGGGGGGCATTTGAGATATGCATTTTTCGGTGTAGTCTTTCATTTTGGTTCGCAGATGCTTTGAGTTGGCGCGGGGCGTGATTTCCGACATCTTTCGACTCCTCAGATATAGAACTGTACGGGGGGAAGGGGGCCGGGGTGGTGATGGGGGCGGCAGGCACCGTCACAGGGCTTATAGCGTTCTACAGGGTGAAAAGGGCTTATAAGGTTTTATGGGCCTAACGAGGCTAGACAGGCTGCTGGACTAGCATTCACAGAGGCTGAACCCTAAGCCCAAAATCCTAAACCGGGGGAGGGGGGGAAGGGGGGAGGAGGGTGCTTGCCAAACGGCGTGTTTGACAAGCTGGAAGGGGGTATGCCAGCTCGCTTGCGGGTACACCCTGCCGCCTTGAGCCATGAAGAAACCCCAGCTGAGGCTCACGCGCCCTTTTTTGTGGGGGTCGGGGGGGTGGGGCCGTCATAAGATCCTCGGCTCACTGAACCTAAGAATCCCCTGAAATCCCAAAGCACCTTTTTTAAGGTGAAGACAGAGGCCTTGCAACTGCAGATGCCCTTTTTTGCATCCAGTCTAGAAGCCCTGCGGCCCTATACCCCTAAACCCGAAACCCTAAACCCTAAACCCTTAACCCTTATAAACCCTAAACCCTAAACCCTAACATCACAGGTGGGTTCCAGGCACCTCGTTCCTGCAGGAGCAACTCCGCGTCTTGGAGGAGAGACCTGGACTAAGAGGGCCTACGGGGGTCTGGGGTTGAGCGTTGAGGGCTCCCGGGATTTTCAGGGGTTTAGGGTTTAGGGTTTAGGGTTCAACACTAATGTCTCCCCAAGCGCGAGTCTTGGAGAGAAGTGTCCAGCTCTCAGTGTGCTGGCGCCGACCTCACTTCAGAGAAAGGCCTAGACACTACACATTGGTAGCTTATGACCTCCTAAACTCGGGTATAGCCCCAAAGTAGTAGGTAAATGGAGCTCCAGGCAGGGTGTATAAGGTTGGGGTTCACACTTGATAGAGCTTATGGGGCCTTTGGGATCATATCCGGGTTTCGTGCGTAAATTTAGGGTTTAGGGTTTAGGGTTTAGGGTTTAGGATTTAGGGTTTAGGGTTTAGGGTTTAGGGTTTGTTTCTGTCGGGGCGTAGGGTTCAGGGCCTTCGTACGGTGATTCAAAGAACGTCACCGAGGCGTAACGTGTGGAAGCCCTCCCCTCCCATCATCGGGGCATCGGAATTAAAGTGGGCTTTGCATTTTGGAGGCGTCTGGGCTTTAAGGTTTTGGCCGCATCCGCGGAGGAGTGTGGGGTTTAGGGCTCCCGACGTCTAACCCCAAAACCCTGAACCCTGAACCCTAAACCCCAAGCAAGATGGCAGGACTCGCTACCCAGCCTCTCTGCTCCCCCCGATGTCGTCGCCTTCCTTCAAGGATGCACCCTGCTGCTCGCACCTCGCCTGAGTCCTCTGAGAAGGGGGGGGCTGGTGGAGTGGTTTGCAGGGCATGATAGGGCTAAACCCTAAACCCTGAACCCTAAACCCTAGGGCACAGGGTTCATGTCGCACCTGTATGGGGGCGAGGCCCAGCCCATTGATTCAACAGGTGTTGGCCGGTTACCCGTGACCCACTTCTCTCCAGCCGCAAATCTACCAATGTGAACGCCTTTCTCCTCGAATCCAAGCAAGGCTTGGCCCAAGCCCAAAGACTCAATAAAGCCCCCTACAGTAAGAAACCCGTAGAAACCCTATATGAACCCATAAGAAGCCCCCACTAAACACCCCATAAAACACAAACCCGAAACCCTTACAAACCCAAAAGGAACCCACAGAAAACCCCACTAAAACAAACCATGAAGAACAAACCCTAAACCCTAAACCCTAAACCCTAAACCCTAAACCCTAAACCCTAAACCCAGCAACTCCTTGAGCACCAGCCTTTGCTTGAGGCTGCGTTGTTCAGTCTGCAAATGCTGACCAAGCTAGGCCGGGCGAAGCACAGGTTTCTGGGCTTCTGGGTTTCTGGGTTACGCTAAACCCTAAACCCTAAACCCTAAACCCTAAACCCTGAACCCTGAACCCTAAACCCTAAACCTTGGAGTACCAGAATTGAGCCAGATCAACGCGAACGACGTAGGGTTTTGTGCTCGAGGCTGTGAGTGCTCTAGGAGTGTTGCTGTTTTGAGCCGATTGCCTCCGCACTGTACGGCAAGGAGCGTCAAATTATGCGGGTTAGAGTCAGAGCCGAAATTCCAGAACTCTACCCTAAACCCTAAACCCTAAAACCCTAAACCCTAAACCCGAAACTCAAGGCTTAGGCCGCCCCCCTGCAGGAGGGGGGGGCGGGGCCTAAGACCCTCGACCTTGATGGCGCAAGCCGACCCAGGTCGTTCGCCCGCCTCCTGCAGCTCGGACCCCGGGCCTGCCTTTTGTGAACCTGGCTGGCGACCACCGTGACGGAATGAAGAAAATGTTATGGAAAGGAAGCAGTTGGCTTGAGTTTAGGCTTAAACCCTTAAAAGGATTGGGTTTGGGTGGCTTTGCCGCCTCGGACGGCGTGGGGTGGGAGAAAAGTGTTAGATGGCCTTCCACAATCGGGCCAAAGCTGCTCTTCGCGCCTCACGAAGCTTTCGAGCTTGTCCCAAAACCTAACCTTCACAGCATCTACGCCCCATCACAGCAAGCCCTAAACCCTAAACCCTATACCCTATAAACCTTACCCTGAGATTCCCACAGAGGTGGAAAGGCGCCCTTCGCCTGGATACACCAAGCAGCGATCATCTTGCTGACCTGGGAACTCTGGCAGCTGATACTGTGAGGCCTTTGTAGGTCCGGCGCCGTAGAATCAGGCTGCGCCATGTGCTGCAAGTGGGCCACAGCTGCTGAGTGACCATGTCCCTCGTGATGCCAGTTCTCTGGATTATGGTCGCCTTTGTGGTTCCTATTCTGATACGGAGCTTTTTAGTCAGGGTACCCCACAAGTGGGACCATCAATGCCCTTGTGTTGGGTGTTCCCGAAACCCTTAACCGTTAACCCCATTAAGCTTGTGTTGGTTGTCCTCAAAACCCTTAATCCCCAGCCCTGACCCTAAACCCTTTCAACCCTAAACCTAAACCCTGACCGACCCTAAACTACAGTTAATAATTATAAAAAACCAAACCCTTAGACCCCTAAGCCGCCTCTGCAGAAATGGTGTTCCAGTTCCATATAGCCACGGAACGCGATGGCGGCCGAGTTGAGCAAAAGTCAGGATGATGCGCCGCGGTTCAGGGTTTGGGGGGTTGAGGGTTTAGGGGTGTAGGGGCCCATAGGCGACTGGAGTTGAGAGTTTAGAGTCTAGAGTTTAGGCCTTCCTAAAATATATTCTTCTGATCGGTGAAGTTAGTTCTGAATGGGCTCGTCGGCTGGGTGCGAGCCAGAAATCCCTGAGCCCTAAACGCACAGGCTCTCAGACCCTTTCGGACTTCGAGATGGATAACTTCAACCGTATATGCAGGGGTTTTCAGGGAGAAGCGTTTACGGTGCAAGATGGTCCCCCCGCAAGCAAAGCCCGCGTTTCGGCGTAGAAATACGGCAAGGGCACTGCCGCAGCATCGACTTGGGAGGGCTGTTCGCGGAGAGCTGGCGTGCATCAACCCGATGCACCCTTTGTGAAGTCTCTGTGACCCTAAACCCTAAACCCTTAACCCTTAAGCCCTAAATACCATCCCCGCCTTCCGCGGCCCTCCACCTGTCGGAAACAGGCGGCGCTCGACCGCGAGGGAACAGCTGCAGGCCCGCGCGCTCTTCCGGGGATGTGGTTCTGTCAGGGTTTAGGGTTTAGGGTTTATAGGGTTTAGGGCTTAGGGTTTAGGGTTTAGGGTTTAGGGATGCTCTTTCTTGGAACTTTGATTTTGTATCCATGGGGCCTAGGATCTTGAACACAGACGTCGAAAAGCCATGACAGTTCCGCAGGTTTTCCCAGATGTCTGCCAATTCTCAAAGCGGGATCAAACAACAACTAACAAATATCCAAAACAAGCAAAGCAACAAGCACCCACCCACACTCCCACGCATGCACACGTGCGATCCTCCCGTTGATCTCACTTTTGTTTCGGAGGTAAAGGACGGTAGGAAGGAGGAAGTTGCAATGTCGTATGTCCGGATGTCCTCAGGACACCGTGGAGAGCGGTGTAGGGTTTAGGGTTTAGGGTTGAGGGTTGAGGGTTGAGGGTTTAGGGTTTAGGGTTTTGTTTTGGCCCCACATCCTGGCTGGGGAGCCAGACACGGAGACCCTGTCTCGCAAACGGAGTCCGCCCCGGCTTAACCCCGAATCCTTGGATGGTAGGATTTATAAGCTCGAACAGTCCTTTGAAGAAAAATGATAATGCGGGTACTATGATCCCTATTAAGGACTCTGTGAGCATAAGAGGGAACATCCCAACCTGTGTCTGTGTGCACAGTTCGTTCGACGCCAGGCCGTAACCGCATCATGCGGCAGTGGCTCACGAAGCACAAGGGCGAGGCCATGGGAAGCAGGGGGGGGGCTTCGCGTGTCAGCGTCGGGTTGGGGTGTGTGGAATGAAGGAGCCGAAGGAAGTAGCAACATGATCTCGAGATCCGTCTAGTCAATCTACAGGTGTAAACCCCCACCCCTCCCAAAAAAAGCAAAAAAGAACAATGCATGTACATGTATATATATATATATATATACATACATTTTTTTGTTTATCTTTATCTTTATCTTTATCTTTTGTTGTTCGTTTATTCATATGTATATACCCGTCTGTTCGAGAATGGGAAGTTCTCCGGCATCCGTCGACACATGTTTGGCCTTGCAGCCTGGTAAAGAACCCTTGCACACAGCCGAGATCAGGCGGGGGAGAAGGCTTCTTACTTTGATTTGAACATCTGCCCTAAACCCTATAAACCCTAAACCCCAGCTTCCCCCAAACCCTAAATGCCCTACGTGCCCTGAGCCCAACTCCCTATACACCCAAAAGCCGAAAGCCCTTAACGCTTAAACTCCTCGTCAGGCCCCTTAGTAGCCATCCTTGAGCCGAGGCTCAACCCGAGACTCTAGCTGCCAAGCGCTTGAGCCCCCTAAACCCTAAACCCTAAACCCTGGCAAAAAAAAAAAACCTAGACCCTAGACCCTAAACCCTAAACCCTATAAACCCTAAACCCTAAACCCTAAACCCTAGCTGCCAAGCGCTTGGCCCTGCAAAAAGGTGCGGCAGTCCTGGCTTGCCCTGGGCTTCCCACGACCACCGGGGCTTCCCCCCAGCACCGTTCTCGGGCGCAGTTCCAGGTAGGCCCTTATATAATATGTTTAGGGTTCAGGGTTTAGGGTTTAGGGTTTAGGGTTTAGGGTTTAGGGTTTAGGGTTTAGGTTTTGTATAATATCACGCTTTTCAGATGAGATTGAAGAGGAGATTTTTCAGGAAGTATGTTTCCGAGGGTTTTAGGGGCCATCCTGGACCCCAAAAACCGTAAAGTTTTGCACCACGGGGCCTTGCTGGCTTGGCCTGGAGCTTGGGTTTAGGGTTTAGGGTTTAGGGTTTAGGGTTTAGGGTTTAGGGTTTAGGGTTTAGGGTTTAGGGTTTAGGGTTGGGGCCTTGGTTGTGGGAATGCTGTCGCTTGAGGCATGCAGCGCTAGGTGCCTTTGGTTTAGGGTTTAGGGTTTAGGGTTTAGGGTTTAGGGTTTAGGGTTTAGGGCTTAGGGTTTAGGGTTTAGGGTGTCAGAGTGCTATTCTGGCTGAGTCACCGGTTGAGGCTCTCCGCAGGTGAGATATTGTTTCTGCGGGTGCCCATCAGCGTTGGTTTGCCAACTAACAGTCCTGAATAGGGATTTTAGCACTGTTAGTCTAAGGGGGGACATCCCAATCAGGGGCTCTCAAATCAGGTAAACCCTAAACCCTAAACCCTAAACCCTAAACCCTAAACCCTAAACCCTAAACCCTGAACCCTGAACCCTGAACCCTGAACCCTGAACCCTGAACCCTGAACCCTGAACCCTGACCCTAAACCCTAAACCCTAAACCCTAAACCCTAAACCCTAAACCCTAAACCCTAAACCCTAAACCCTAAACCCTAAACCCCAAACCCTTTCCTCTGTCACAAGCTTGTTTCGGGCTCCGAGGCCCTATAAGCCATCCCCCCGACTCCTTGGTGCCCACTACCGCACCACGGAAGCCCGGTCTCGGCCTCAGGCTTTGGGATTGTTGTTTAGGGTTTAGGGTTTAGGGTTTAGGGTTTAGGGTTTAGGGTTTAGGGTTTAGGGTTTAGGGTTCAGGGTTCAGGGTTCAGGGTTCAGGGTTTAGGGTGTTCTGGGGAGGCCGCGAGGGGCACGTACCTGCCTCACAGTACAACCCCAGCAATCCCCTCCATGCGAGGGTTGGGGCCTCGATGCTTCAAGCAAGGTGCTGTAGATGCGGAGGGCCAGGGGTTTAGGGTTTAGGGTTTAAGGGGTTCAGTTAGGACCCTCAGAAAAGTCCAAAGATAGTTTCATGGCCCCTTAGTCTGGGCCCTTAAAAAATGTTTTGCAGCGCCTCTTTGTTTCAAGCACCAGTCAGCAGCAATCTCTCAACTTGCACTTTCGGGCTGCCGTATGCTCAAGGCATCCCGGCGGTCAGAGTGTAGGCTTCCCATGCACAGAGATCGCGCAGATGGCCCAAGCCATGCAGGTTACGGAGAGCTCATGGAACCGTGAGTTGAGAAAAGTCCGGCGGTTGCGACAAGCTCATGCCCGACAGCAGGACAAGATGTTGATATGCAGCCTCAAAGAGCGGGTTTTACACCTCGAACTTGAACTTCAACAGGTTAAGAGCCTTGTGGCTCACGCTGAGACAGGGGTGGTGGGCAATGGCGACATAGACAGCGTGAGATTGAATGTTGGACGAGGACGAGGTGTGCCGGGGGGAGGCAGGAGGACACTCCAGATGATGGATTATGAACATACGCAAGCAATCGCTCCGGAATCAGTCGCTTGCCGAGGTACACCTGCATCACAAGAGTCAGCCGTTCTGAAGCGAAAGCAAGCCGAAGCACCTTCGGTACGGAGCTCTGGGGTTCAGACTGTGACGCAGGATGTCCGCCGACATGGTCAGACGTACCTGGTGCAACCTCTGCGTGATAACCTGTGGACATGGAAGGAAGCCGCGATGTCACTGACGGAAGCATCATCTCCATTCCTCGAGAGCTTTTACTACAACATGTATGGAGACGGATGGGACGGTAGCGCAAGACAGCACGGCGAGTTCTACATAGGATCCGATAGTGATAGTGAGGAACAAGAAGGCCTTTCGATGGAAAGATCTGAGGCCAGCGCTGGTGGCTAGGGCGGCGGGAGCTGATGATGCACTGCAAGTGATTTCGCAGGCCTCGCCCTGCGGTCTGCGAAACGGGGGGTGTTTTGCAGCGCCTCTTTGTTTCAAGCACCAGTCAGCAGCAATCTCTCAACTTGCACTTTCGGGCTGCCGTATGCTCAAGGCATCCCGGCGGTCAGAGTGTAGGCTTCCCATGCACAGAGATCGCGCAGATGGCCCAAGCCATGCAGGTTACGGAGAGCTCATGGAACCGTGAGTTGAGAAAAGTCCGGCGGTTGCGACAAGCTCATGCCCGACAGCAGGACAAGATGTTGATATGCAGCCTCAAAGAGCGGGTTTTACACCTCGAACTTGAACTTCAACAAAAAAGGGTGCCCCTCCTTTACCCCCTCTATACCCTATCTGCAAATTAAGGGCCCAGACGAACCCTGTAAAGGAGGTCAGGGAAGAAATTAAGGGCCCATGAAACTACCCGCAAAAAAATGAGGGCATGAACCTTGAGCCCTCCAAATAAGTCCCAAACCCTCAACAGCCTGGCAAAGTGGGGCAAAAACCCACAGAAGCCCTGAAACATCATGAACCTTAAGCCCTAAACCCTAAACCCTAAACCCTAAACCCTACACCCTAAACCCTTCATCCCGAAGGCCTAGCCCTTCAACTCCAAGCCCTAAAGGGTTTAAGGGTTTAGGGTGGCGGGGTCACGCCTGACAGCTTTCCTGAGTGTGTGAGAGCGAGAGGGTGGCAAAAGGAGACCACCCTGATCTTTGATCCCATCTTGCCTCAAGAGAGCTCCACTGAGGCAGTGTGCTGCGGCACGAAAGGTAGCGCCTGTCAGACTCCAACGCTACTTGGTTATCATGATGGCCGCGCCTGCATCCGATCCAAAGTGGCTGCATGAGGGTCATCGCACCCCGCAGCCGGAGGCTGAGGCTCAGTACGAGCGAATGACCCTCACCGCTGAAATCGAAGAGGATTTGCACCGCCGAGGTGCCTCCACCGAGATGCTAGAGCTTCTCAAGGAGATCGACGCTGACTTGCAGTTGCCAGCGGCGCCAGCAGGTCAACTTGGTGGAGAAATCCGTGCAAAGGCACTGCGTTGCATTTCCCACATGCTGCAGGGGTGCAGCTCCGGTCATTGCTCCTGGTTTCAGGCAGCGCTTCTTCTCGATCGCCTCACGGCAAGCAACGACTACCGTTTGGAGCAGCTGCCACTGGCTTGTGTCTGCGTGGCAAGGCTTGTCATAAAGTGCGCCTGCAGTGTGGCGACGCCCCTTACAAGCGAGAGCCCCCAGATGCACATGATCAAGGAGTTTTCGACGTGGCTGGAGTCCACGCAGGACTGCTTAGCTTCGGAAGTGTCCAACCGAGCTCTCAACTTACATGAGAAGACGGTCTTGAAGGCCCTGGATTGGCAGGCAGAGGTTCCCTGCGTTGAGCAGTGGTGCCGTATCTACTTCACTCGCTTCGGACGCCTGGCGGGCCGGGAGTACCAGGCTCCTCTTCAGCAGATGCACGGCACGGCTTTGATGTTCGCGCGAGCCGTGGTCATGTGCGTTCCAGCCTCCGCCGAGTTGAGCCACGGCAAGCTGGCCACAGGACTCTTCAGCCTGAGCTTTGTGTACTCAAGCCTGCTTCCAATGGCCCTCCTGAAGCCTGAGACGATGGCAGATGCAGAGTGGAGCGCGCTCTTCGCAGCGACCCAACCACGAGGTGAGCTACCGACATGCCGGCTGCCAAAGCTTTTGACACTCGGTCGGCCCTTGGGACTGTTTGTTCTTAAGAGGATCATATCACGGAATCTTCTTCGGAGGGGTTTTAGGGACCCTAAACTCGAAACCCTAAACCCTAAGGGCCATCCCAGGACGATGAGGATCATGGACATGATCTGCCTGACCGTCAAAGAAGAGCTGGATGTCATCCGTGCCCAGGCAGCTCGCATGCTGGAAGCCTTGGGCGAAACCTTTCAGCAAATTCACTGCTTCCACGTACAAGGAGCTGGCAATCGCTAGATGGATGATTGCTACACCAGCGGTGTTAGATTGTTAGATGGTCCAGGAACCAGGAAATGAGCCAATGAGGACGTGTCTCAGAGAGTGTGGCGTAGGTTTAGAGCTGCATGCTTTGTGAGGAAGAGACTGAGATTCGTAGATCTCCTTCGGGTCTCGTCTTGAAGAATGTGGAATATTCGGCCACCTCTTTGGGAGTGCGACTCCTCGGCTAAATTTTGCTTCAACTGCTTTAAGCTAGGCGATGGTCAGGTCAGGTATCTCCTTGTCCTGCTCCTTCGCAAAGATAGACCTCTAGTTAGGACTGGCAAGTGGTGCTTCATGTGCTGAGTTCCCTCTTTACCCGCAAAAGCCCTGCAACCCTAACTAGAATTCCTAATATCGAAGTACCACGGCCTGCAGACACCGGAGAGTATGCGGATTGGAGCGTTTAGGATTCTTAGGGTTTAGGGTCGATTCTGCACGTTGAGACCTTAGTCGTACACCATGCCTCAATTGCACGGTCTCATCCGCGACTCCCATGCTATCTTGCAGCTCTAAGGGCAGTCGAGATCTTTCACCACATGCGAAATGGGTGCCCCCTACTCCGCTGTTGGCCTCACGGGCCTCAGAGTTTAGGGTTCAGGGTTCAGAGTTTAGGGTTTAGGGTTTAGGGTTATGTCGGAGTAGGGGATAGAGAGCTCGCAAGGCCTGCTCGAAGGCAGGCTAATGCTTGCGTGGCTTTCAGATTCACACGTTCGGATGAAGTTGCGGCTGCGCACCCACAATTCTCGCATGACCATCTTGGGTACAGTTTGCTGGAGACTCTGACCCCTCTAGGCCATGAACCCTGAACCCAACCTTGCCGACCGAATTTCATAGCCCTAGGCCACAGGAAGCCGATAGCCAGCTTTGCTGTTTCGGGTACTGTACCTGCGCCCACGAGCGGTTGCGCCGCCAACGTCGTCTGCCCACGAGCTCGCTCTTGGAGGGGCGTTTCTTTGCGAAGAGGGCTCCCACAGTGATTGTTCATTTCCAGGATGGGCCATTCGGCCTTACATAATCCACATAGTCAACCCTATAAAGGGTATGATAGCCCTCTTAAAGGGGGTTATAGGGTATAATAGCCCTTTTAAAGGGGTTAGAAGGTATCATAGCCCTTTAAAAGGGGTTATAGGGTATAATAAAGGGTTAGAAGGTATCATAGCCCTTTAAAAGGGGTTATAGGGTATAATAGCCCTTGAAGGGGTTAGAAGGCATAAATAGCCCGTCCTGGAGTTCAGGTGCGGATAATAAGTCACAACGCGCCAGCGTGCTTGAGACGGTGGCCAGCTGATCTTTTGGATGTTCCGGCCTTCATCCTAAACCCTAAACCCTAAACCCTAAACCCTAAACCTAAACCCTTAACTAATATGTAGAGAAGAGCATCCTTCTACGAGTGCCGCTGGTCGTAGGCTGCCGCTGGTCATATGATGTGATGTATGTCCGTCCGACTGCGGGCGCCCGGTCCTAGGATCTGTTTCAGGTTTGGGGGGGCTCAGTTCGCTTATCCTGGGTAGCCTCTAGTGATTGCAACATCTAGACTTATGAGGGTTTAGGGTTTCCGACACCGGACATCGGGCAACTTTGCCTGTTCCACCACGATTCTTGGATCTCTCGAAGGGGCGAGGACCCAAAGACACTAACGACAGAAGCCTGGTAGAAGCTCCTTGGCAAGAGCCCAGATTACGTTTGGATTTCAAGCGGGTCTGAAGCCCTTCGATTGGTCAGGGCGTTCCCGTGTAGTGCTCGTCGAGTGAAGGTTGCTGTGCGCTCAGCGCCTGTGACTTGCCACGAGCAGCACCTCAGCTTTTGCAACCCCGGCTGATTGCATTTCCAAACCTGCCGTGGGCCAGCTACTACTATTTGTTTAGCTATTCTGTAGGCCCTTGGGATATTTTATATTTTCCTTTATTGGGTTGAAGAGGACCATATTTAGGAATATTTTTCAGAGGGTTTGAAGGGCCATCCTAATGTTACATCTCATAAAATTGGGGGGAATGTTCGAAAGCTTGCGGATGCTGTGTCAGGGAGGATGCTTCGATGGCATCCGGCACCCGAGGCCAAGCAGGTTTAGGGTTTCAGGTTTAGGGTTTAGGGTTTAGGGGTTAGGGACACATGACATGCAGCAGCTGGGCATTTCAACCTGGTGTGGTTGGAGTTGGCGGCGCAGCACGCGGCTGAGGTGGCTGTCCCATGTACTCAAGAGCCTACCTCTCAACCCTGAACCCCTGTGCTCTTGCCCTAAACCCTAAACCCTGAACCCTGAACCCCTGTGCTCTTGCCAGCCGTCGGTCGCAACTCTTCCGAGCCTCGCCTGCCTGATGACCTGATTTTGCGCGCTTGAGCCGCGGCGGGGCGCACGCATGGGAAACCTTGGAGTGGAGTTGGGGCAGCTAGGGTTTAGGGTTTAGGGTTTAGGGTTTAGGGTTTAGGGTTTAGGGTTTGGGGTTTGGGGTTTGGGGTTTCCTCCCCGCGTTTTCATGGGTGCGCCTTGCGAGTGTCACAAAGCCGTGGAAGAAATTTTAGGGTTTAGGGTTTGGGGTTTGGGGTGTAGGGTTTAGGGTTTAGGGTTGCCCTAAAGCCATGAGCAGCTTTATCGGGATCTGAGCTGTAGTTGCGGAATGTAACTCGTTTTGCGTGTTAAGTGGCGGCTTTTGAGTGCTTACTTTACTTTCCTCCGGGCATTGCGACTTCTATTGGTCAAGGCCACTTCATCAGTTAGCATCGCGCGGCTCAGATCGAGAAGGCTCACAGTAGTTTACAGTACAAGTGGTTTGGGGTTTAGGGTTTAGGGTTAGGGCTTAGGGTTGAGGAACAAAGGGTAGGTCCTACATTGTCCTATACACCCAGCACATGCATCCTTTACTGTTTGTCTTACTCGATCGCAGACGATACCACGCCCTGTTCCCGTCGGAGAGGTGTCAGCAGCTGTCCAGGCATGGGAAGTGGGGTATAGGCATAGGTCAGTGGTTTAGTAGTTTAGGGTTTAGGGTTTCGAGTCCCAATCGCAGTGAGAACGTGCCTTTGCATGGGGCAGATCCTCAGAGGAAGCTTCCAGCTGCCAGCATTGATTGCCAAACCGAAGTTGACGTCTTGACCCGACCCGCCTTCGAGACCATCATGGCAACCCTACAAAAATCGTATACAATCACCCTGCAGCAAATCGAGGGGCAGATGGCAGAGCGGGTGCAAACCATTGAGCCGCTAAGGAGACAAGTTCAACATGGCGAGCCAATCACAGCGGTGAGCCCCACAACAGCGGGCGTTGCAGCACCTATGGTGGATGACATTCGCGTGGATCAAGAAACTAGCAATGCCAACAACTGTGTCTGGTGGTGGCCCTACACTAAACGCCACGCCAGGGAGAGACAGGCACTTAAGGAGCAAAGGCGCAGTGAACAGTTGAGTGTGCTCCAGCGGCTCCACGGACCTGATGACCAGCCTGGTTGATGTTGGTCTGTGTTGTGGCTCCTGTTTTCGGTACTACTTCTGCAAGACAGCCTGTGTGAGAGGTGTGTAAGAGACTTGGCATAGTCTTGCTGATTGATGTGGTTCCTAGTACCTGGCTCTGCAGAGCAATGAGGCGCCTGTAAGGGTTCAGGGAAGAGGTGCAAGCCCAGAGTCGAGCATCGATACTGGGAAACTTACCCCGGCTTACTGAAGCAGCCCGGCAGCAGAAGGGTTTAGGGTTTAGGGTTTAGGGTTTAGGGTTTAGGGCTTATTCGTCTGTCTAGTTAGGCAGCACGCGGGTAGTCGCCGAAGACCTGCTGGCACCGACATTGCGATAGCTTAGGAGAGCTACTGGCAGGGGCCTTGGGCCTTCCTCAGTGTCTCTTCAACTCAGGAGTGTAAGCCCTTAACCCCAAACCCCAAACCCCAAACCCCAAACCCCAAACCCCAAACCCTAAACCCTAAACCCTAAACCCTAGACCCTAAACCCTAGAAGGGTGTGAGCGGTTGTGGGTTTTCGGCCGCCATCCCTTGGGATGAGCTGAGAGCCTAGGGTGACTGAAGAGCTACCTGGATCCTTGTTGCGAAAATTTTGGGCCAGAGAAGAGCACGAGCAGTCCAAGGTCCGTTTCCAGCGGCTTCACACACTTTCCCTAGTTTTCCTGAAGTATCTGCATGGGATCCCGAGATTGCTACGCGCAAAATGGCCTTGGCGGCAATCTTGTGGAACAGGCCGTATGACTGAGGTGAAAGAGTGGAGCATCCTAGAGCTGTGATGAATTCAGGAGAAGCTGTGATAAGTCAGCATACTATGGCCTGGTTCCCGGCAGTCTTCGCTAGGTACCTGCAGATCTCGCATTGCAAGAGCAGAAGCTGTGTCTTTGTTGCTTCCCTGAGATGAACCCAAAGCTCCCCAAACCCCTAGACCCTTCTGGACTTGCATATGTTGGCGAAGCCTGCTTGCTGCTCTTGCCAGAGATTGGGCAGGCAGGGGAGTTGACATGTCCTCCCCGCCCACGGGCTACAATACCCTCGCAAAGGGACACGCTTTCTGGGGCCGGGGGGGCCGAGCTTGAGTGGCAGATGGCTCCTACGAGACAGCCTGCAACAATGTGGGATGATCTTACAGACTCCTTAGAGCTGTTGGGTTGGGCCACCATGATTCCTCCCTGGCCCCTCCACCAGGTCACCGAAGCAACGGTAGGGTTGCTAATGTTTTAGATGCCACGAGGTCCGCCAGAAGCCTCGGGGTAGACTAGGGGGGCGGGGAGGTGGTCCACTACACCTCCCGGGCTTGCTTGTGAGGATTGAGAGTGCAGTGCGGGTCTAGGGTTTGGGGTTTAGGGTTCAGGGTTCAGGGTGTCGTGTTTTGGGGTTTAGGGTTTAGGTTGTACGTGAGCATGCAGGCAGGCCTTGGGACACCTTGCCCACCCTTTATTCTGGTGAGAAGGACGTGCGCAGCCGTGAATGCTTCCGCAGCATGGGTTTATTCGAATTCCTCAGCCCAAGACTAAACCAGCTTATTCACCTGA